CATGACATGCATGCAACGTCTCTACCCAGACTCGTGTCAGCCGTGTCCAATCGATTTTTATATGGTAGCCGAAGCGATTCCCTGCCAGACGCCAGCGCAGGAACCTTGAACCCAATTGGGAGAAACAAAACGCCTAGCGCAGCATGCTAGTCCATGCGGTACATCGCGTGACAGAACTCCTATTCCAAAGTTTACCTCGCAGTGTTTGAGATCAATCGGTGGACGCTTTTGTCTCTCTTACAGTCCTGTTGTATTAGGTACCCGTTGCTTCCATCTGGGGCCCTTGTCCTGAGAGAACAACCCATCTGGCGGTTTTCTGTCGTACATCATACCATTCCATCGGATCGCGGCTTGCCATTAGACGAATCTGAAAATGAGTTCCACAGTTCCACATGTCATCTGCTCACTCGACTGCGTTGCCTTGCCGTTGCCTTCATTGCCCTCCAGACGTCTTTGGGTTCTCCTGGCGGACACTGGACCATCCAGCAGCATCATTCGTTCTGGGTGCCCGCCTCCGACAGGTACTTCTTCGCCACGTGATGAAAGTGCTCCCTCATCAACAGAGCCGCTCGAGGCCGTACCGTCTCGGGCGGGTAGAAAAGTAATACGGGATGTTATCTTTGTTGAACGACTCAAACCATAATGCTGGGTCTTTCAAAGCCTCGTCCGTTGTTCCCTCAAGGCTGAGCCTGGCCCAAAGGTATAAGCAGCCCTTGAAGGCTTCAAAGAAATTCCCGGCACCGAAATACTCGATATCGTAAGCGGCCTCCATCAAATTGCGGCTCTGGCGCGGACGGTAATTTGCCTCCTCCTGTCAAGTCTCCGACGTGCGGAATCTAGTACGTCCCGTCCAGTTGGGACAAGATCTCTATGAGGTCGATGCCCGCGCCGTTCCAGCCAAATCTTGAGCGTATTGGGCAAAGCCGGCGCAGTTCTGGGAAAGTGCGCTGATCTGCCTCATCGACAGTCCAGGGTCCCCGCCAGAAAAGCCACGAGTTGTGCAATCCATCCACAAACGGTCCCACTGTCGAACGAAACGAGCTGCTGCTCTCATCCTTGTAACAGCCATGTCTGGAGGCCCGGGATCCTAGCTCCCTGGCGCATTCGTTTCTGCGGGACTCTTCTGCCGATGCTGCAGGTCCCCTGCGCGGCCCGCAAAATCAGCGCTCATTTTCCCACTGGAGCCTGCAATGCTGATCTGAATTATTGTTGGGGAAAAAGTCTAGCAGAATGCGACTCTGAGGGAGAACGACAGACAGGCCGGCCGAGTCGTGCTCTACTGGCCGCGTTGCAGTTGCATGAATCAGGGGGTGACATGCTTTCCCCCCAGAGCGGACGCGTTCAGCCAGGACCCCCGCTATTCGAAACGAAGGACTAGCATTATGGTTGTCTCGTGCATTGTGAGAAGACTCGACTACAGAGAAAACACTGAAATCGAAAGCGGAAGCATTGGCCAAATCTGGTAGAATGTCGTCGTATGGCAGATGAAGGAAGTCCAATGCTTGGTGGCTGCGTGGCGAGCCACTACGTCTGGAAGCGACAAAAGAGGCGTCGTCAAGTGGGACGCGATTCCGCAAGCAGCATGTACACTAGCGATGAGCTGCTGAAGGGCGAGGCGCGAGCTGGCCACGGCTGCGGGTGCGACGGCGGGTTCGCGCACGAGAAGCAGGCAGAAGAAGAGCGCGGTGCACTAGGCGTTTCCGGAATAGGGGCCCGATTGGGATTGTGTAGCAGCGATCTGGTGTCACGCAGGGGCCTGAAGGATCGGCTCTGTCTCTTCGTCTGTTGTGTGTGGAATGCCATGATGACGCTCCCTAGTGAGAATGGAGACGACGACAAATTGAAGGCTCGACTGGTGTGTTTGGTTGATGCACTGCCCGGGTGTTGTTTGGCAGCAGAGCCAACAGCACCACAACCAGTGATTGGTCCAAGGTGTTGACGGGACAGCCGCGGGTTTGTCGCACTACTAGGTTGATCGAGGGCGGAGCCCGTTAATCTTTTGAGTTTGAAGCATATCGAGCAACTCTTTGGAGGTGGTGTAGGGAGGGCATGATGAGACAGGCAACAAGGGCTGGATGGTGTTTTGGCGGCGGACCAGATGGTTGGAAGTTGTTTGAATCAACGCCGCCATGTGCCATTGTACTCCAAACCTGCGCGATTGGATTGAGTTCCAGCTTGATTGCTGAACCGTTGGCTTCTCTCCATGTGCATCAAGTCATGAGGCGTGGAAGTTTGCAGCTTGTAACCTGCGCGTCAAACCATGACAGAGCTTCTCTTCGAAAGCACGTCCAGACCCTCTGACCGGCAGCTGGGGATTTTCCTATTGGCTGCTAAGGACCACTGCTAGAAAGCTTATGGTTGCGGATAGGTACTATGCATGTCAATGTATTCGTAGTGCCTTGGGGAGCATGACATGGGGTCGCGACGGTCGTGAAGGTCGTGTGCGAATTGCTGGGATGCGTGCCATAGTCGATGAGGGTCAAGAGAGAGGGCATTCGTAAGGTCCAACTGGGTCTCTCCCAGAATCCCGAGGAACTGCCCGGCCCCGGAAAGCAGAAGTGGTTGCAACGAACCAGTAGATTGGTTGAGCGGCGGATGAAATGTCTGAGATGATGGCGGAATGAGTGTCTGACCAACAGAAAGCAGTTGCTAGGTGGTGAAGGTACGGATACCTTTTGTGCTCTCCATGTTTCCAGTGTCCACAGAGGAGAGGGAGACGAGGATTGGCAGTGTGGCATGCCTTGGTGCTAAGGCGAAGGTGCTGTGCAAGGACGACGGGGAACTGGAGGTGGCTTGCTTTCTAATGCAAGTGCAAGGAAGTTATGGACAGACTTACTGTTTAAGAGCACCCCGGCACAAGTAGCTGCCAAGTCCCTCTAGATGAAATTCTGCGGCAAGAGCGGGCCGGGATGACAAGGCGAATCAGACCGACGATACAAGCCAGGAACGTCAGGGGAGCGCCCCACTTGAGTCCCGTCCTGCGCTGGCTTAGGTGGAAGTCTAGAGCCCCGGTACGTACCAGGACATGCGAGTTGAGGCAGGTAGGTACTGCTGCGACCCCGGCCCAAAAGATCCGTATGTTCCTGTTCCTGCTCCTATTCATGCCACCTTTCTTTTTCCAACAAATAAGCTACCTTGGATGATGCTTCGGGAATCGGCGCAGCTCCTGTTCTTCTTTTCGGAGATATTGCAGAGTTTTTCTGTTAGTCCTCCGTGCGGCGAGGTAGCATCGAGGTGGTTGGACTGGCAGTTCATATGTAGTATAAAATCAGGGTCGTGATCGACGTCGTGGCGGTGGGCGTATGTGGCGCGGCTATTTGTCGTTTTCGAGGTGCAGCAGCAGTCGTCGCCGTCTGTCCAGATAATCCATGCTTCCAGAGACACGGCCAGCCGCAAAGTCACGCCAACCCTGTTTTGTTTGCTTGCCCATGCCATTGCCAGGAGTCAAGTCCAAGGACAGGCATGCCTTGGGCCGGGTACATACCTGTAGGTCCTAAAGGGTCAGAGGGCAGAGGCTAAGGCACCTTGGGGCCAGCACTTGCGTGACTCTCTCCCGCCCAACAGAGCGAGGAACGGGGAGAGGTACCTTTACAGGTGCCTTGTATACCTTACCTTATTCATCTAGCCGTCCTCGGTTCATACCTGCTGTATCCGTATCCGTACTTGGCCACGGCAAGTAATGGGACGGGGCACGATGGGCACGATGGTACCTTGTCAATGCAGACCATCGACGGAGACCACAGACGAGGTAGGGGATTGGCAAGTAACGAAATTGAATCAGGTACGTGCTGCGTTGAAGAGAGAGGAGCACGGAGCACAGAGCCCCAGTGCCCCCAGATGAGGTGTGGTTACGGATACTGAGCAGGAGCAGTACGGTGTACCTCAGAAGACGAGCTGCCGGTGGTGCTTCATGGTTCTTTCTTTGTGCGTGCGTCCGGGACAGCAGCTCTTCTGCATCCCGTCTGCTTCCTGCTTCCTTCCGCCTTCTGCTTCGGCTTCCCTCTCTTTTCCATCTCCTCCTCTTCTTCTTCTTCTTCTTCTCCTCTTTCTCCTGCCTTCCCGCTCCGTGTGTCGCCGTTCTCTCAACCACACTCCGTCCCTCCCCCGATCCCTCTCTCACCACCTCGCTAACCCCCGTCATATCATCCCGCTTGGTCATCGCCAGCGACTGACAGCCTGTGTGTCACGTCTCGTCTGGCCTCAGCTCTGTTCCTGTTCTCTCACCTCCTTCGTCGCCTTCTTTCCTTTCTCCAATTCCTGCGCTAGCCCGTTAGTTCTCTCCCCAGACCCGCCATTGGCCTCGCTGGGCAGCAAAAACACCACAAGACTGAGCAGGAGTATTAACATTAGCAACCCGCAGCCCACCGGGCGTCCGCTACGAACGCCCCCAAAAGTTTTAGCGTTTTTGTTTTTCTCTAACCTGCCAGTGGGACTTCTAAAACCGACAAAAGCTTCCTCCGCCCACTCCCGTCCCATTCCTCAAACCTCAACTGGTGGACAGGCAGGCATTGAATTCTTCTACCCACGCCGTCCGTCCTCGCCGTCGCTCCGTCGCCTTCGAGACATTTCTCCCCCCTCCTCCTCCTCCGCCGCCTTGTCTGCGTCATAATTCTTTGCGATCCGACTCGATCCTCCATCGTGGCCTGGCCAACCTTGAGCTCTTCTTGTCTTCGTCTGATCTTGGCCGATCTTCAACGCCCTCGGACCATTGCGAGACCGTTCCCATCCCACCTGGGCCTCGACGCGAATCTCAATCCCCTATATTCTTTCTCCCCGGAACTAGCTGCGCGCATTTCTTCTTCCACCTCGTCCTCGTCTTAGACCGTTGTCACCTCCACCGGTCCGCCTCCATTGATTGCTTCGCGCTCTCTGCCCACGCTTTTTCTAACCGAGTGGCCGCGCTACTTTCATTTCTTTTCCTCCTCAACACCTGTTCAGCGTCACCGCGCCGGCATCTCGTGCACCCAGTCTCCACGGCGATAAACGTCTTTCGAGCCAACATGTGCTTCGGGGCCCGAACAAAAGATGACAGCGGCGGTGCTCGTTCGCGCGATCTCGACCGCATGATCCGCCAAGATGAAAAGCGCCTGTCAAAAGAGGTCAAACTGTTGTTGCTGGGTATGTCGACGCGATCGCCAACTTGCGCGATGCACCTCTTCGTGCGCTGACTTTCTTTTCATTTGGACAGGCGCCGGAGAATCTGGAAAATCTACAGTTTTGAAGCAGATGAAGTTGATCTACGCACAAGGCTTCAGCAAGAACGAAAAGCTCGAATGGAAGCCAGTCGTGTTCAACAACATTGTCCAATCATTCCGTTTGATCCAAGATGCCATGACCGAGATGGGAATCGAGTTCAGCAACCCTGAAAATGAGGCAAGTCGACCCCGATATGCTCCTGGTGACGTTAATTGCGTGCGACAATCTCGAGACATGCTGTCGCTGTCCATGCATGCGATGATGAGAGCGGCTCGGCTAACACATGGTGTCTCTTATAGAAGCACATGGCGCATATCCTGGTGGAACACGAGATCAACGCCCAAGATCCTCTTCCGCGCGATTACCTGCAACCCGTCAAGGAACTCTGGGTCGACGGCGGTGTCAAGCAGGCCATTGCAAAGGGCAATGAGTTTGCCCTCCACGACAACCTCGCATAGTGAGCATACTGCCGCACCAGCTGCCCCTTCCAGACCCCATCGCTGACCGACGTAGCTTTTGCGATGATTTAGATCGAATTTGGGACCCGAGCTACGAACCTACAGACCAAGATTTACTGCGCTCAAGACTGCGAACTACGGGCATCACCGAGACAGTCTTCGATCTGGGTCAGCTGACGTACCGCATGTTCGACGTTGGTGGCCAACGTTCAGAGAGAAAGAAGTGGATTCACTGCTTCGAAAATGTCAACTGCTTGCTCTTCCTCGTTGCTATCAGCGGTTACGACCAATGCCTTGTCGAGGACAAGGACGGCGTATGTGTACCCGCATCATCTCGTTCTATCACTGTCAGAACTAATCAATATTCCAACAGAATCAAATGAATGAAGCGCTGATGCTCTGGGAGTCGATTGCCAACTCTCACTGGTTCACAAAATCTGCCCTCATCCTTTTCCTGAACAAGATGGATCTCTTCAAAGAGAAGCTGCCTCACAACCCGATTACATCGCACGGCTTCACTGATTACCATGGTCCAGCCGAAGACTGGAAGTCCGCCAGCAAATACTTTTTGGACAAGTTCCGCGCCCTCAACCGCAACACTGAGAAGGAAATCTATGGACACTTTACGAACGCCACGGATACGAATTTGCTCAAAATCACCATGGGCTCGGTCCAGGACATGATCATCCAGCGCAACCTGAAGCAACTGATACTATAAGGCAGAGCCTTCAATGATTGGGCCACCTACCTGGCCCAGATCAATTTCAACACCCCACCCCACGGCATGCATGAAACATGCCATTTCTAATTGATACCCGCGGCCTTTGTGTCTTCTCCAAACTCAACACGGCCCCGCCCGGCGGCGTCAATCGTCCAAGTTGGTTGCCATTTTTGTCGAAATCGTCGTATATTTGCGATTACGCACTTAGGCCTTCTGGTCGCGAAACATTGGCGATTCCATTGAGGACGCCGGCACCGATATGGATGTATATTACTCCACTTCCTTTGTGTCTAATTTCTCGTCATCTATTGTTCATATGGAGGCGTTGGTCTGAACAGAGAGTTTCGCAAAAACATGTGGCTGGATCACTCAGCTACTTTTTTTGCATATTATTGCCAACACACAGCGGTTGTTGGGACTGCTCAGCCGAGGCCAGCAGAAAAACAGTAAACAAGCCACTGTGAGTGGTCACAGCTACAAGCTTCACAGGTAGAGTGAGGTTTGTGGAAGGAAAGGCGGAGCAGGTTGCGAAGTGTGGTTCGGTTCGTATGAGACGAAACGAATGCAAAGGGCGAGGCGGAGCAGAATTGGATTCGCGTATGATGGATTGATACCTAATCAATTGTTTCAAGCTTTGCTGCTCATGTTTGGGTCAGAGAGGAAACGACATGTGAGTGGATTGTGCTGCGAGGCGGAAGCGTCACGCGGCTGCAGAGCAAGCAGAGCAAGCATTTGTCTCATTTGAAAGAGAGAAAAAAATCAGATAAAACATGTTAAAATCATCTGATGACCGCAATGCTCATGCTTAAAAACAAGGGTAACTTTGCTCGATGGAGTCTATTTCCGGTCGAGCCCCCGATGCCTAACGCCCATTGCATTGGAAACATCAGCATCGATTTAAACCTCTAACAGTAGGAATGGCATCTTCCCGACCCGGTGACATGGGTTGAAGTATAATGGATTAATGGCTTTCTTCCCTGTCCTCTGCCATCTATACGCGTGCAGGGGTTGTCCCCCACTAACTCAGTCAGCCTCAGTCCTAGGCAGTGTTGGACTGTCGTGCAAGGTATGGTTATGTGTGGTATCCCCCAAACATAAGCTTACAAAAGCGGCGTTTCACGCCGGGGGGAAAGCTGATTGACCGGACGAACGTCGACAGTGATGAGAGCCAGGCAAAGCAAGGCAGGCTGCCGAAAGCTAGGATTTAGGAGGGCTGGAAGTTGAGTTGTGCAAGCTGGCTGATGTCTCTGTTTCGGTCGCCTACCCCCAAGCCAGAGCCTGTGTGTTTTTTTTTTTTTTTTTGCCAAAGGTAAAAGAACGACGACGGCGGTGGTTGATGGTGAACGAGCAAGACGAGCAAGACAAGTTTACCGATTGCTTGGGTCACCGTTGGCATGTGTGTGACTGACTGTACTGTAGACGGATTCGGAACTAGGATATTATCCTTTGGGGGGATGGTTCAGCTTGCGTGCCACGGCACGGTTTACCCGGGGGCCGTGGCGCGCGTAGATCTGAGTCTTCTTTGTCTTGGCACATTGTTGCCCATCTTTCTCAAAGTAAGGCTGGTCTTGAATGTAAGTTCCCTGGCCTACGTACCCAGACCTCGGTTTGTGGCTGTAAGCACATTCATCGCACCAGGGCAAGGTTGAATGGCCGGACGATGGGCATCTCTCTGCGTTTGCTTTCGGAGGAGGTTAGACTTGGCGGATTGCCTTTGCCCTTGGGTGTTGTTCCAATTCTGAAATGATGGCATTCGAGGGTTTGAGGCATCAGAGATCGTGTTTTCATTGCTTGGGTGGTGGTCACCAGATAAGTCAAAACGTGGTGGCAAGCAAGGATCCTTCATGGTCACGGAGTAAGGAATCTCCAAGGAGACTAACAACTGAGTAGCGGCGGTCGACACGGGGGACGTAAAGGCCGATCGGAGCCGGGCCGAAGCAACCCAATTTCCCGATGGCGGATCGGACAATTCGGCGCATCCAAATCAGTATTCGTACTGTATCATATGGTGAAAAACTCACATAATCGCACAGTGTAACATGTCAACATTAGCCGAATCTCGGCAGGGATGAGCTCCGACAAGCAAAGCCCGTCACGGCAGCTACCCCGCCGCTATCGTCATTCCGGCCCCCCCTCCCCCACCACCGCTCGTCGTCTCCAAATCACGCCCCGCTATCCAACTAACCCACCACCACCACCATAATCAGTGCCGCACCCAACGTCACTCGTCCCCGGGCAGCCCTCAAAACCCCCTCGACGTACAATGCGCTTCGCCCTCCGCACCTTGCGCACCCTAACATCCTCCACACTGAACCCTCGCGCCCACCGCCTCGTCCCCTTCCGCAACATGGCCACCACCGCAGCAGCAGCAGCAGCATCCCCGGTGCTCAAGAAGCCCGTCAAGCTGGCCTGCATCCAGCTCGCCTCGGGCGCCGACAAGGCCGCCAACCTCGCCAACGCCCGCGCCAAAGTCCTCGACGCCAGCGCCGCCGGCGCAAAGATTATCGTCCTGCCCGAGTGCTTCAACTCCCCCTACGGATGCGACTACTTTCCCAAGTACGCCGAGACGCTCCTCCCGTCCCCGCCGACGCGGGAACAGAGCCCCAGCTTCCACGCGTTGGCGGCCATGGCGTCGGAGAGCGGCGCGTACCTCGTCGGCGGCTCCGTGCCGGAGCTGGACGCCGAGACGGGGAAATTCTACAACACGAGCTTAATCTTTTCGCCTGCGGGTGCGCTGTTGGCGACGCATAGGAAAGTGCACCTGTTTGATATCGATATCCCGGGCAAGATCACCTTCAAGGAGAGCGAGGTGCTGAGCCCCGGGGACCAGGTCACGGTCGTGGACCTGCCCGAGTACGGACGCATCTCGGTGGCCATTTGTTACGATGTGCGGTTCCCCGAGCTGGCGGCCATTGCGGCGCGGAGGGGTTGCTTCGCGCTCGTGTACCCGGGGGCGTTTAACCTGACGACGGGTCCGATGCACTGGCGGCTGCTCGGCCAGGGCCGGGCGGTGGATAACCAGATTTACGTGGCCATGTGTAGTCCCGCGCGGGACTTGGGCGCGACGTACCACGCGTGGGGCCACTCGTTGATCATTGATCCGATGGCGAACGTGCTTGTCGAGGCGGAGGAAGGGGAGAGTACTGTTGCGTGGGAGCTGGATAATGTCAAGATTGAGGAGGCGCGGCGGAATATTCCGATCAACACGCAGAGGAGGTTTGATGTGTATCCCGATGTCAATCAGGGAGAGGTTTGATGATGGGGGTGTGGATGCCGCGCTGCTTGATGTAAGAGAGGTGATTGGGGAGGAGTGTTCTAGCTGGTGAGGCAAGATACGATGCATATAGAAAGGGGGGCCCATGTAAACCATTGTGGTGCATACAAAAAGCGTCGAGTTGGACGGGAGGAAGTCAGGTTAGGTAGTACATTCATCATATTTGCTGTTGAGTACGACAATATTTTCTCCGGTACGTCACGGGGACTGAGGTGTTCCATCGTTGTTGATCCTCGGCAGCTTCATTTTTATCAGTCTGCAAGGAATAAAGCATGGAAACAAGTGGCCACAACGGGCTTTCGCTGTTGTGAATTCAGCTCTCAATTCAGAGCCACCACAAACCCTGCAGAACCATCACTCGAATATTGAGAATCCTCATAGGTCAGGCTTTTTTTCTGTTTGTGTCTTTCACGCAAGATAGAGGAATAGGAACAAGAATGGCCACCTGTCACGTTTGCTTAGATCCCACGACAAAGCCATTGGCCTGTCGTTATTCGCATCGACCGTGCCTTTACCAGATGAGTGAGAAACTTGCTTGAATATGTTTTTTGACTCTTGGTACCATTGATTGACGCACATCTTTTCTATCACATCTTGTAATGTATCGACAAGAATGTGCGATTAGGGGACTTGAGATACAAATATAGTACACAGGGTCGACCATGATCTCGTATGAAGCTTGCGCATGTGGTGAGGTTACCTCAGGTCTGGACAAAGTTGGGGAGACTCAAGAGGCCGTTCGAAAGCCGTCAAATCGGAAACAGTCAACAAGCCGTAGGGTCGTACTCCCAAGATAGGATAAGCCAGGAAAGCATTCACAACTCCACGATGTGAGGTGGTCAGGGCGGTCAGCGTAAACGAGCAGACAGCTCCAATGGGGCAGAAAATGGAGCTGTCAAAATTTCAGTAGTGTACCCTCACGACTGGAGGAGAGCTGTACCATATGATTCGAAATTTTTCCAAGCTATCAATGGTTCCGCGGTGCCCCCCTATCCCCCATATCACCGAGCCCGAGCTACTGATTTGCGCAGTCTGACCAGGTACCCTACCTTGCCTAGGGTAGTGTCAAGTGTAACATCTCGAGACTATCTCTACCACCTTGATCCTTCCTTGTAAAGAGCGAATGCTTTTGAAGGAATTTCTTCTCCATCTTCTTAAAATAGCCTCTGGTCAACAACAAACCATTAGCCTTTGCCGGACTAGGTACGTGTCAAACTCATCACCGCTCAGCTCGCCGGGGACCAAGTTCTAGCTTCAAGGGATCGATCAATCCCCGCAATTCCGCATCGGCAGACCGCCGTCGAAGAACAAACAACCCCCCCTAACCCCCTGGTCGACGAAATTCTGGTGCCTAGAGCCTACTGCAAAGAAGCAATAAAAACCCGCAGCTACAGCCTACTAAGCCAGTACCCACGTGTCTCTCCGCTCCAAATTGGCTATTACACTTGCACGTAAGTAGGCTAGTGAGCCTCAACTAATCAGGGGTGTGGGAAGTTGGAACACACTACTGTGTATTGATTTATTAAGCATTCTCACATCAGCCCGATTTCTGTTCAAACGACCTTCATGAACTGTGTGCAGGCTGTACGACTGCCTCCAGCACATGTTTAGCTATGCTACCTCAACGTTCTCCCCTTGCGCTTGCGGCCGAACCCTTACTGCAACACGGGTTGCGGTAATGAGCGGGTTGGCGATTATTCATACACATGCAGGAAAAATAAAAGACACAGGGGTTCTGTTAGTGTGACTAGTGGCTGGATGGATTTGAGGATACGAATATTGGGTTTGATGTTGATGAGCAGACGAACAAGGGAAAGACAAAACCAAAAAAATTACCGAGCGGTCGATTCGCATGTCATTAAAGACTCCGCCACACCCCCGATCGATTGGTGACGAGAAACAAGATACAGAGTGTGGCTGTCATCTCCTCCGTCGGTCGAGGACTCGAAAGATAGCTCCGTCCATCATGAAACTGCTCCCTCTCCTTGCCCTCATGGGCATCGGGATCGCCCACCCCCACGATGCACATGATACTACTATTCTAGAGTCGAGACAACAGACGTGCTCCGGTCCCGTGGAGAGTAATCCGTCGACCTGGTGGCGCGCGGCCATCGACCACAATGGCACGGCGCCGACGAGCACGGACTCGACGTACCAGTACTACCGGACGGCGGTGCAGTACGGCGCCGACAACACCGGCGTCCAGGACTCGTCCGACGCCTTCAACTTTGCCATTGACGGTATGCTTGCTCGCACTCGATGCCCTCCCCCCCGGCCGTCTTTGGAAAATGGACTGAAGGCGCCGCACAGCGTGGAGCCGAACCGGCAACACCGTAACGACGCGCCCGGCGTACATCTACGTCCCTCCGGGCCGGTACCGCATTAAGAAGCCGATACAGATGCTCGTAACGACCTACCTCGTCGGCGACGCCCTCGACCCGCCCGTGCTCATCGCCGATCCGGCGCTCGGCACCCAGCCCGTCATCAACGGCTACGATTCCCACCAGGGGGACGGGTCCGCGACAAAGAACTTTTACATGGCGGTGCGCAATCTTATTATTGACACCACCGAGATCGGGGCGGACGTGCAGGCCGTTGGGGTCGACTGGAGCGTCTCGCAGGGGTGCTCGTTGACCAACGTCAAGGTGCGCATGCCGAATTACTCGAGCCATATTGGTGTTACTATGGCACAGGGTGGTTCGGGTATCTTGATTAGCGATAGTGTAAGTTTCGATTCTCCCTTTTGGTGTCGATAGCCTTCCCAGGTTTTGGGATGGGATGAGGCATCCCTTTTTCAAGGCTGACAATCGCCGCTCAGCAATTCGAAGGCGGTGCCATTGGCATACAAGTCAACGGCCAGCAGTACCAGTTCAAGAACCTCTCCTTCAACGGCTGCAACGTCGGCATATCAGTCGCCTCCATCTACGTCGCCGTCGTCCAGGGCGCCACCTTTGCCAACTGCAACTTTGGCATCGACATGGGCCGCAGCACTGCGGGCGTCGTCTCGGTCATCGACTCCAAGGTGGAGTCTTCATGCAACGCCGGCGTCAACAACCTCGTGACGGGCTCCGGCCAAAACTCGCTCGTCCTCGATAATCTGCAGGTCAGCGGCGCGACGGCGGCCGTCAAGTCCGCGAGCGACGGGTCGATACTGCGCAAGGACTCGGTCCCGGCGGGTCAGACCTGGGTCATGGGGTACGTGAACTCGAACAATCTGCAAAATGGGACGGTGTACCCCGTTGACCGGCCCGCCGCGCTGGTCTCAGGAGATCGGTATTTTACCGCGCCGCTGCCGCAGTATGAAACGTATGCCCTGGATCAGTTTGTGAGTTTGAAGGGCGATCCCCAGTACCCCGTGTATGGCGACAACAGCCACGACGACGGGCCCAGCATCAATGCAATCTTGCAAAAGTACAAGGGGTGCAAGATCATCTTCGTGCCCCAGGGTATCTACCGCACCGAGGAGACGATCTACGTGCCTCCCGGCACGCGGCTGGTTGGTGAAACGCTCAGCATCTTCAACGGTAGGCCACATCCGAACCTCTGTAGCCCCTTGGAATCGATTACTGAACCGTTAAAACAGGCATCGGATCACAGTGGTGGAATCCTGACGACCCCCAACCCATCCTCAAAGTCGGCAACCCAGGCGAGACGGGCATCGCGCAAATCACCGACATCACCGTGGAGGTAGCCGACGTCCTGCAGGGCGCGACCCTCGTGCAGATCAACATGGCCGGCGCGCGGCCCGGCGACGTCGGCATTTGGAGCAGCGTGTTCCGCGTCGGCGGCACGAAGCACTCGCTCACAAACACAAACTGCGGCGGCGCGGACCCGGGCGCGTGCAAGGCCGCCTTTGCGCTCATGCACGTCACGTCCACGGCGAGCGCGTACCTGGAGAACGTATGGGGCTGGGTGGCCGATCACTCGCTCGACGGCGGCGCCGCGCAGAACATTGCCGTCGGCAGGGGCGCACTTATCGAAAGCACCAAGCCCACGTGGCTGGTGGGCACCAGCTTCGAGCACTGCGTGATGTATCAGTACAACCTCCATAACGCCCAGAATGTGTACATTAGTCTGCAGCAGACGGAATCTGCGTATTGGCAGGGTGAAGGAACTCCTCAGAGAGCGCCCGGCCCGTGGTCGTGAGTCAACTCCCATCTCCCACAACTTCATGTCCTGAGTCCGAGATCGGCAACAGGTGGGCTAACCCTCTTCACGCGCAGCGTAAAACCAGCATACGGCGACCCGGATTTCAGTAACTGCGCGGTCCAGGGGCAGGGGAACAATGACCGGTGCTACCGGTCGTGGGGCCACTACATGACGGGCAGCTCCAAGGTGGTGATTCACGGCTCTGCGCTGTGGGTGTTTTTCAACAAGATGAATGATAATCAGTGGCAGAACGCCCAGTGCGAGAACACGGGTGGCAACTGCATGACCAACCAGGCCTACGCTGACGGCGCAAAGTCGACGTACTGGTTCGGCCTGAGCACCAAGAGCACTACCGCGCTGCTGTATGATAAGACGGGGGGCGTTATTTGGGAGGTGTTTGCAAGCGACAACGCTGGCGGGTGGGGAGGTGTAGTTGCCGTGTATCTACGGGACTCGGCGGCTTGAAAGTTGGGGACTGGCTGTGTGATATACCTTGAGGCAGTACCAAAAAGGCTTTCGTGTCGAGATTGGCGTGAGATTTGGATTCTGACATTCGAAACTCAAGGAAAGCCTCCCAGCCGCAGAAAGCTCTTGTATACACATGGACTCAGGTGCGCCTTGAGTGGATGTAGAAAGAATACTAGGATGGATATCAAGAATGAGTGGCCACAAAAGGTCCATTAACTCACCATTCAACGCTTTCAGACCAGGTAGTCTTCAGTACAGGCTTCTACAGCTCAAGGCCCCTGGTTGAGAGCATACACGGCCCCGGAGTTGGAGATAGGCAGTGGCAGAAGCGCTGCCTGGCAGTTGTAGAAGAGTCCTCTTCTCAGCTCGGCCGTCTCGTTCGTCAAAGTGGACACTTTTTTTCTCCCATCCGGTTCGACCGGTAGGCTCGGAAAACGTTTCGAGCATGGCGTTACAACGTACCCACTGACGAGAAGAACTTATATATATGAAATGGTATTTGAGAGATGATTCGCTGCGACTTGGGGCTGCATCGTGTATAGTCGCTAGCGTGGCATTGACTTGGGGTTCAATGCCAAATATGGTTTGGTCAACGGATCTGCATCGGGAGGCAGACGCTCATCCTGAACTTCAGACAGGTGTTTGCATGCTGTGGCACCAATGGACGAAGGAGACCCGTCTCGACGCAGCACCTTGGTGGTATATCCGTATAAACAGGACGAAAAGCTAGGTTCAGAAGAACTGCTAAACTCCCGAAACGTTGATCAACCCGTGCGAGGTCTTTCAGCCTCTTTGATGGAAGCTTTGAGCCGAGGTCCCCCTTTGTGCCTGGATCTTGGTGCGTGCCCAACCTTTGTTGTCACGCACTACCTACCGCACTCGGACTCGTTCTCGTCGGTGCTGCCTAATTTGGAGGAAGGGTTTCTGAGGGGCCCAAATTGACTTCCCTCGGCTGCTGTCAGATAGGAGAGGAAACCAGAAAAACAACTTGGGACGAATGTTGGGATCTGCAGCATCCAACTGACCATCCATATGGGGGGTCACGATCAGAGATCGTGGCAAACCATCAGGGAAGCAAACCATGAAGAGAGTCCGAATGCGGAATGCAATTCGCTTCCTGTAGCAGTCGTCTGAAGTTTGTTTGGGGAGAGAACGAACCACAGAGTCGGGATGTCTTGCCTTTGTCTGCTCTGTTCTGTCTCATTTGGACCTTTGATCAACCTCGACCGACTCTTTTTTCCCTCGTGTTTCCCTTCTGGTACCTCGGTCTCTGCGAGACATGACGAATGCTAGCTGGACCGCACTGAAGACCGGGAACTGTTCCCTGCCGTGTGTAACTGGAGACTCATTGTAAGGCAGTGGCTCGCTAGGACCGGGACCAGATCCGTGACAATGATGAGATTAGCGTGTCTATGGATCGTCGTCATTCATCAGTGCCGGTACCAGGTAAGACTCGAACCATGCTGTGGCGTCGAGGTCGTCGGGAGTGGGCAGGGCGAGCTCGAGCATAACGAACACACCAAGAACTCGGTGGCGTCGTGGCTGGGGTACACCGCTCGCAGTCGACGAACCGGTATCGATGATGGAGCTTCCAGAACCCAACTGTCAAGGTCGATGACAAGTGGTGAAGGACGAATAAGCTGGTCGCTGCTACGCTACGCCGCTTCTGTCCCGCTGTGGCGCCGCCCGTGCTCGGCGCGGCTATGTCCGCCTACCAAGTCCATGAATTTCTCAAGATACCTAGGAAAAGGTACCTTAACACCCCAAGGAAGGTAAGGTAGGTAAGGTGAAATACGAAGCGAAGCATCCATGGACCGCGGGTCTCCGTTCGCGCTACCACGATGCGTCTCTTCAGCGGCCCAGTGCGCTGGAAGTTAGTGGGTGCGAAGCGTATTCCCCCAAGGCAGACTATGTGCAGGGGTAGGTGCATTGGATGCACCTGGCTGGGGTCGGGTTCCTTCCATTAGGTGGACCATGGGGAGCTGGGTTCCACTCTTTCTTCTCTGGGGACACCCGCGGGCACATGACGCCCTGGTAAATCGCCGAGGTTCACATGCGACGACTGAGCGTCATTGCTGCTTAGCTTCCCTCCGCCTCCGTTTCTCTATTTCTTTATTCCTCCGTCCGACGACCCCCAGCCTCCGACGCACGGCTCACCGTTAACATCTTTTCCCAGTATTTAAACTATCCGGCTATCCCCCCGCGTTTCGGTAATCTCTCGCGATCTATCACACTTAGCTGTCAATCTTTCAACTATTTCGAACACGTTTTCACCAAGTATACCTATCCTATAAGCACAATGGGTCTCACCAACGGTATGTTATATTCCATCGAGGGTCTACGTTTCGGTCTCAACCGCGTTCAACGCTGACTGTTTCCCCCCCAACGCTGTAGACAAGTTCCCCTCCTCGGCCGCTTTCGACGCCATCAACGATGCGCTTGGCTCCAGTGAGCCCGACCGCAAGGACGCCATTAAGCAGGGCAACGCCGTCTTCGCCTTCACCCTGAAGAACTCGGCCGGCGAGACCGACAGCTGGCACATTGACCTCAAGGAAAAGGGCGCAGTCGGCAAGGGCGTGGGCACGAAGCCCACCGGTACGTCACTCGTGCGGCGCTGTTCGTCCCATCTAAATCACTTCTAACCTCGACGCAGTCACATTGTCTCTGTCCGACTCCGATTTTGGCAACCTGGTCCAAGGCAAGGCCAACGCCCAGAAGCTTTTCATGTCCGGCAAGCTCAAGATCAAGGGCGACGTCATGAAGGCCACCAAGATGGAGCCTATTCTGAAGAAGGCCCAGTCCAAGGCCAAGTTGTAAATACGTCGCAATGGAAATTTTGTTGTCGGTAATACCCTGTACCATAACCTACCAGTTGGGCCAGTGATTGGTGCTGGCCCTGGATGCGCGCCAAACGTAGCGTTGCCGTAGGGAATGAGACTATGATCAATCAACAACCACCTAAACAGGCAAACGTCGCAGTGAAATGAACGAAATACTGATTGGTGAATTGTGGCAAACTCGGTAATTCACACTTAGATTCTGGTGATATCGTACGCTGCGGGAAAAGCATGTGACAGCAGGGCAGAGACGATTTTCACGGCGTGACAATCTAAAATGTGTATATATGCCTACAAGTCCTGTGACCATGGGAAATAGCGCAGATCTACCCCAGAAAAGCAGTCCGGCACATGGCAGATGTTTACAACAGAGGTCCGATACGTTTGCTTCCGTGACTTCAACCGCAACATCAACGGTGCTGGACCTCAGATGGTGGAATTCCCGAGTATTGCCGGCCCGAGTCAGAAGACCCGTTTGGGGTCGGAGCATCGGCGCCGCCATCTTCACGTGCACTCTCCGGCCGTGGTGAGCCGGCTCCAACCACCGGTCGGTTGGACGCTACTGAGTGCAAGCCTGCGATGAACAGTCGACACCTCTACATAGGCGTACCCATGACCTGGAGAATGCCAGCGAGCAAAGTTGACTGGTTTCAACCTGGGCGACCCGGACAGCAGGATGCTGATACTTGTGAGTGACTCGTGAGCGAGATTGCCGTCCGGATTTGGGGGTAGTTTCCCCCTGGTTTCAGTATTGTAGTCGTGCCAGCCAAACAATTGTCTATTGGAAGTTGGTGCGCATGCAAAGGGGTCAGGAGTGCAGCCGACTTGAAGGTGTGTGTTGCACTCAAGCACTGCGCCAGTCTGGTCTGCTTGGTGGTAGCGTCAGCTTACTCAGCAAATGCTGAAGAAAGCCTCTGCCATCAGACGCTCTGTCGGAATCAAATCCATAGGGAGGCACGTGCCGCTGGTTGCCTTCCATTCTTTCCGTTTGTTCGACTGGTCGAAGCTGGAGCACTGTGACGCGGGACCTGAAGAAAGACCGGGTCTGGGGAACGCCCTAGGAAAAATCGCAAGCGCTGACCACCAACCAGAAGCGCCCCGTCGCAGTCGCAGTCGCACCTCGTACTTGCACTTCCATTGCGGCCAATTGAAGGCGGTGACGCTGGCCTGAGGTTCAGGGACGGCAGAAAACAGATCCACTCTTTCCCGACCGTGCTCGCGCCCCCTGCACCGTGGCCTGGTTTTTTTTTTACCAATAGCTGGCCCCGTCACCCGTCGCCCGGTCGAGCCACACCAAAAATCATCCAGCACCAAAATCTTCGAGTGGTTCTTCTAGCCAGACCACCAAAAGGCGTCTTTGATGCGCCATTCAGCATCAACTTCTTGATCGCTGCGCCATCGCGATCTGCTGCCGCCGATACTCCAACGTTCTTCGAGTTTTCTCCATCCAATCGCATCCATCATTTTGCAGTTGCTTCTCGCTGTTGCGCCTGCATTCCTTTCTTCGCCCGTCTGCTTTGTCTACGAATCCTACGTGAATCGAGACGCGACTCTTCCTCCGAGACCGAGTCGACCAGCAACCTATCCATCACCAACGACTAATTATAATCCCAAAATCGATTCTTTTGTCGTCGCACATCATCATGGACCAAAGAAACAGCACCCCGCGGCCGCGCCCGTCGCTCAAATTCGCGAACCGAAGCTATCAAGCGTCGCCTCTGAACCCGAACAAGCGACTGGGCACCCCCAAGACTGCTCCATCGCAGAGGGTCCTCAATCGCGACCCCGTGCCATCGAGCAACCTCAACACAAGCACTATTTCAACCGCAAGCAACCTCTTCCGTTCGTCTACCATCAGCGCGAACTCGGCCACTACATCCTTCGCCCCGAACCTGCCTACAAGCACCGCAAAGAAGGTCTTCGCGCCTGGCGCGACTCCGGCTTCTCAAAAAGTCTACCGAGAGACCATCGCCCAGGCGACCCCTCGGGGCATGGCAGCCAAGTCGACATCGGCCGAGCTCTTTCAGATGCGCATTCCCTCCCCGCCTCCTGAGCTGTCCGGCGAAGCGCTCGCGCGAGATATCCCCCCTGAGCTCGAAGCCAAGGGCACAGTGTATGCCGATCAGTACCTCAGCCACCTAGTTCCGACCGAGTACGATGACTTGCAACGTCGTCAGCTGTTTTGCGTTCTCGATCTTCGCCGCCTGAAATATGCTGCCAACGAGATATTCAACAAGAAGGATTGGAAGCTCAACATCATGAACTTTGCAAAGGAATTCGAAAAGAGCAGGAGCTTGATCATGCTCAGATATGGCCTGTACGAGTTCAAGAACGTCAAGCCCTCAGAGGAAGTTTTGAAGAAGTGGAGGACCGCACATGGACTACCTGAACCCGAGGAGGATGCTGCGGATGCTAGCCCTTCCAGGCAGACTACCCGTCCCAAGCGCAAGGCTGAAGACCAGCTAACCCCCAAGGACGCGGCCCTTTCGACCGCTTCGCCCAACAAGAACAACAAGAGGCGTGCTATGGACAGAGAGGAGCCAGAGCTTGCGACGCCGGCAACGATCAAGAGCACGAGAAAGGCAACCGTCGAGGACGAGTCGGAAGAGAGCCAGCCCAGCAAGTTGCAGAAGCCTACCTCGACGCCCTCGGCCACCAAGAGCATGTTTGAAAAGATTGCCAACAACCAAGGCCCCTCTTCGACGCCCAAGGCGACCCCCAAGGCTGCCGAGGCCAAGCCCAGCAGCCTCTTCGGAGGAGCATCGAAGCCCGCAAACAACGAACCTCCACGCTCCGTTTTCGAGAAGCAGCTCAAGCCTGCCCAGGCATCCAACATCTTTGGTTACTTGTCCGATGCCAGTTCTGCGAAGAACAGCGGTGTGGAGGCTGATGCAGAGAGTGAGACTGACTCCGATGACGAGGCGGAGCCCAGTGTTGCCGCTAGTGGTGGTGCCGAAACGCCGTTGGGCCAGCCGGCCTCCAGTCTCTTTGGTGCTCAGAAGCCTCTTTTCTCCGCTGGCCCCGCGACTGCTCCTACCAGCACTTTGTCGGATGCCCGAGAGACTACTCCTTCGGGAACTAAGAGTCTGTTCGACCGTGTGACCAAGGGCAACAACGGGCAGCCTCTCCGCGCGGACTCGGCTGAGCCGGTGCCGGCTCCTGAGAAGACACCCTTCGCCCCGGTCAAGGAGACTGCTCCAGCCCCGGTTAACGCTACGTGGAACCCCAACTCGCCGATCAAATTCAATACCAACCCTGCGCCTAGCAATGGACTCTTTGGAGCGTCTACCAACGGATCGAGCTCCATTTTTGGTGCTAAGCCTGCCACTCCTGCTGCCCCTGCATCCAATTTGTTCGGCGCTCCGAAGCAAGATGAGAAGCCCAAGGCCGGGAAGCGGTCTGCTTCCGAGGATGATAAAGGTTCGGAGTCAGACAAAGAGAACAGCTCCCAGCGTCCTGCCAAGTCACCATTTGGCGGCTTCTCCGGATTCCAGTCGAAGCCGTCCGAGGCGCCTAAAAAGGACGAAGCAGCTCCTAAGCCGGTGGCCGCACCAACTTTCGCGTTCGGTGCTCCCGCTCCCAAGGCGGACGAGGCCAAGCCCGCAGCTCAGGCCTCGAATCTATTTGGTTCTCAAGATAAGCCTGCGGGCTCTGTCATGCAATCGTCGACGCTCTTCGGCGGCAGCAAGCCTCAGGAAACACCCGCCGCCGAACCGGCTAAGCCCCTATTCGGCGCAAGCACATCGGGCACTTCGAGTTCTTTCCAGTCGAACCCTCTCTTTGGTGCCCCCAAGCCACCCGCGTCGGTCACCTCCAACCTCTTTGGTGCTAAGTCCAGTGACGAAGGTTCCAAGGGCCCCCAGACGGCTCCCGCACCCGCCGCAGCTCCTGCTTTTAGCTTCGGCGCCAGCAAGGCGAACGAATCCGCTGGCTCTCCCTTCGGTGGCAGCCCCATGAAGCAGGATGGCCCGCCAGCGAAGAGGCAATTCAACGCCCCTAGTTCGTCCGCACCGGCAGCCCCGTCTGGTGGCATGTTCAACTTTGGTGGCTCCCAAAGCGCAGCTCCCGCCAACCCCTTCGGCGGGGCTGCGCCTGCGCCTCAGACAAACGGTGGTTCCAGTGGTCCTCCAAGCTTCGGCTCTGGCGGCGGTTCTTCATTCACCTTCAGCGCTGGTGGTGGCGGCCAGAGTTTCAACAACCCCTTCGCATCTGCTAATGGCAGCGGCTCTGGTGCTGCCCCCGTGACCTCGGCCGGTGGCATGTTCAACTTCGGCGGCGGCGCATCTTCCGCTCCCTCCAACGGCTCTACACCATTCCAGTTTGGCGGTGGATCGTCCGCACCCGCGCCTGCGGCGGCAAGCAGCACTCCCTTCCAATTTGGAGGCGGCGCTCCCGCTCAGCCTGCTGCCTCGACTCCCACCTTCGCCTTTGGTGCCTCTAACGGATCTGCCAATGCCCAGGGGCCTGCGTCCCAAAAGCCATTGTTCGGAGCGTCAGCCTCGGCACCAACGAGCAACCTCTTTGGTGCCAAGCCTGCCCAGCCTGCCTCCGGCGGCATGTTCGGTAACCTGCAGCCCCCGGCGGGTGCCTCTACCACCGGCACAAACTCACCCTTCAACTTTGGCGGCGCCTCTAGCCTAGCTACGACTCCTGCCACAGGCACTCCCGAGCCAGCTGCGGAAGCCGACAAGACTGCTGCCGCTGGCGGTGAAGGCGACGATGCCGACGGCAAGCCTCACGAGCAACTCAAGCTTACCGAGGGTGGTCCGGGCGAGGAAGACGAGGAAATCCTCCATGACGTCCGGGCGAAGATTATGAAGTTCATTCCGGCCGGATCCGAGGAAGACAAGGATAGTGGCGATGATCAACCCAAGAACAAGAGCCCTTGGTCAACCAAGGGCGTCGGTCCCCTTCGTCTCCTGAAGCACAAGAACACTGGCGCCGTTCGCATGCTGCTGCGGGCGGAACCCCGCGGTCACGTTGTGCTCAACCGCACCGTCCTACCCGCTGAGACTTACAAGGCGGACAAGAAGTACGTCAAGCTCACGACGTCGAACGAGACGGGCAGCGGCCTCGAGACTTGGATGGTGCAAGTCAAGACGGAGGACTTCGCCAAGGCGCTCGCAAGCGCTTTGGAGACTCACAAGTCGGCCAACGCCAAATGAAGCATGATCGAAACGCAATGAAGGATTATGGAAGAATGTTATCGCGTGTTTTTATTCTTTGCTTCTTCGACACGGACGATTTATTCCCCAGTTTTGTTTTTCTTGGTCTGAGTCTATACTAGATGGAGACTGGAGACTGGAAGGAGAGAGAAAAGGAGAGCGTGTGATTGGGGGAAAGTGATGAAGCGGGATTCGCGTAGCGACAAAAAAGATAGGTAAGGCATAGCATTGCTCTTTTTGGCTCGGCGTTGGGACATTTGTTTGCTTTCTCTTTTACTTCTTTTCTTCACTCGTTTCTTCTCGAGACTGCCGTGTTCTCCTACCTTTTGGACCGGCCTTTCGAAACCGCGTTTAGGAATGGAGCTGAGAGCACTTTTCGAGGTGTGCCACCCCCGCGCTATGGGGAGGGCGGATTTGGGACAATGGGGAGAGCCAGAGGAGGATGACTCGAAAAAGTAACTGTTGTAGAATTCACATTGGGAGGAATAAGGCAATTGTAGTGCATTATCAAGGAATCGTGTACCCGACTTCATGCTTTGCTCTCATGTGACCTGTGTGATCTGATCGTGGCGATGCGAGTTGTAGTTCCCTCCACCCATTGAGAACCAGTACAGTCAACTGGCGGACGGATGAACGGCCTTTTTTTTTCAGATCTTCTTCAGCCATATGGACTTTGCTATACCTCTTGACTTCACTTTTTGTCCCCAAGAGAGAGTGTCCAGATTAGCTCACGGGCTCGGCCGTCTCGTTTGACAGACGGCATTGAAACAATGAGTCACAGATTGCATGTATCTTTGATAATCCCTGTTTATTTGTACTTTGCTATTCTGAGGGGAATACTTCTCAGAAACCACCGAATACTCATAGTAGTAATGACCTCCCTCCCCATTACATGCCCGCCTTGGTAGGCTCAACCTCCATTGTTGTAGTAGAGGTGGGCGTCTGAGCCGTGACCGATGGAGTCGCAACGGTGGTGAGGAGGCTCGTCTGCGTCAGGATGGTAAAGTCCGCGTTGCTCTTGGTGGGCTTGATTTGCTCCTCCTTCTCGGGGCTCGCAGTCTGGAGTGGCAAGGAGGGGCGGCGGAGGTTTCCGATGCTCTCTTTGGCGGCCTCGTCGAGGGGCTTGGCATCTTCTCCTCCCTTGGTCTCCTCGATGGCGTTGGACTCGTCTTCCTTTTCGCTTTCAGCGCCTACACGGCGGTTGGCGAAGGAAGTGGCGTCTCCGAATTCGTTGCTCTCCATGAAAGCGAGAGCGGCGGCGGCCCAGTCCCAGGCCAAAGCTTCGGTTGGAATAGCAGTGGAAGATGGTGTGGGAGCAATCTCTTCTTCCTTGAAGTCAGACTCGGTTTCCTTGTCTTTGACGCTGGAATCGTCCGCCTTGTTGTCCGCGTCACCCACGCGACGGTTGGCGAAGGAAGTGGAGTCTCCGAGAGCAGCCCTCTCAATGAGGGCGAGGGTGCCGGCAGCCCAGTTCCAGTCCGGGGTCTCGAGTGGGGCTTCACCTGTAGAAGAAGGTGCAGGAGCCACGATGTTGGAGCTTGTGAGGACTGAAGTGGTGGGGACTGAACTGGTGGTAGAGGTAGAGGTAGGGGTGATGGTGGTGGGAAGAGCCTCGACTGGGATAGCTACCGCTGAGGTTGCGGCGGCGAGAGCCAGAGTGAGGAAAGTGAGAGTAGAAGTTTGGGAAGGCATCTTGAATACTTTGGTTGTTTGTTTGGGGTTGTTCTGTAAGTTGACGATTGGTGGTTGGGTTGAGAGATGATCGATCAACTTGATGAAGATGTGTATTGTAATGAGATGGTTCACAAACAGAATCATGGTCTAAGGATGAAACTGGCCTCCTTTATGTATCTGATCGTGAGAGAATTTCCGGAGAAAGCCTTGAGAGAACCTGGGGGGCTCTAAGATAGGGTTAGCAAAGTCTCAGCAGTAACCGTGTCTACGTTGAACTCTACAAGTAGAATTTCAGGAACCGCTGTGGTTCCAGAAAACCGTTGCGGACGCCACAAGGGCCCCCGTTCACGTTGAATCATTTTCCGGGTAGACCAAAACGGTCCAGCCATGCCATCGCCACCTGTGGATTAGTTGCAGAGTCATACCCTTAACAAAGTCTATCGAATATACATCATGGAAGACAATGTAGTTAAGCCTTGGCATCTCAAGGCCTGGGGAGAAGAAGAACGAAAACAAAATCGCAAGTAAAATGGTGATTGCGATGAGAAAATGATGTGTTTTCATTGCTCCACATAAGCATCGTTGACAATTATCTGCAAAGAGACGTTCTCTATTTGCCTGCTTTTGCCGTCCTGGGGGTGTTTTTCTCTGTACAAAAAAGTTCAATAAGGACGCTGTCGCCAGTCAAGGACGCGCGAATGATTTGCAGGCATCAGATGCAGCAGAACGAACCCATGGGAATGCAGAGGTTGAAATAATAGCATGCGAGAGAGTATCTGCCTATCAGAAGTAGTGGAATTATATTCGTTATAGAATTTCCTTGGTACAAATGAATTGTCTATCGATACAAGGGTGGAATTTGATCAGGAGATTTCCGCGGTGCTAGCAGAGGTTCGAAATGGCAGGATGTTAAAGAGCGACGATCTTCTAGACTTTGAATCATGTTTAAAATTGTAAAATTCGACTTCAAGTCCTATGAGAAGGAAATATACTCCGACCTAGCCGCCCGCTATGTTCCCAGCCTCACGCACCTCATCTGGGCAACTCAGGGGACGGTCCTCGCAGACAACGGTTTACGCCTAATTCCCTCCACGACCGAACTCTGCTCTACCCTCGAGTGTCTTTGATCTTCTTGACCGTCCCCAATGTTTCTCAGACCTATGTAAATGATTTCATCCACCAAGTTCGTCGAAGAATCGAACCGTTCCTGTGCTCCAGGAGATGCCGATGGTGGCTTTTCGTTGAGCACAACCTTGTACTGATCGTCTATCCGGTTACCAACCCCAAGTTCGATGCCAACTGAAAGAGTTGAAAGTCAGTCATTGTGCCTTGACCCGCGACTGTCACATCGTCTTTTGATGGATGGAACTTACAGATGTTGTAGTAAATGTATTTGGATAAGACTGGAGCCCATACCAGAACCGCGACAACCTGGCCAAAAGTCCACTGCTTTTTGATGTGCATTGTTTCTCCGAACAAGTCAAATAATTGTCTTAATTTGTAGAAGAGAGAAAAAGCCATTGAGATCACCAGGAAAGACGGAGGATGCTTTGAGAACCGAAGCGGGCATCTGAATACTGCGCTCTGTAAGAGCCTGATTTGCCGAGGCCACCATCCTGCGCAGACGAGGAAGATGGAACAGATGATCGATTGTCAGAAAGATGATGATTGCTGTATAGAGGTATAAGTAAATAAATATGTCAGAAACGTAATAGTTACCGTCACCGGCCGGCAAACATGTTTGCAGAATACTCTGCTTTCCGCCGCAGGCCTCGTGTTGCCGGGACAGATCCGAATCGGAAGACGTCGGAAGCCTGAGTATCTGTATGATAGCGCAAAGGACATATACGATAACTGTGAGTATGAACGTGTACCACCAGTACATACCCCTCCGTTGCATGATGGCCTGCGTAATGAGGACCAGCAGCGTATTGGCTGTCGCGAAGACTTTGGCGGCACCGACGTCGACGCGGATGGCGAGAGACTCGCGGTTCATGATGATCATGGTCAGAGTCGCCGCTTCAATAGCCATGACGAAAAAAGCCTGGGTTTCTTGGAACTCGATCATTGTCGAGTACAAGGCTACGGAGAAACGAGTCGAGCGTAGACGCGTCAAGGTCAAGCGCAGGCGGTCCCTTTCGGTCTCTGAGCGCGTGTGAAGTCGCCTGACGCACCACCTGATTGCGCGCAGCATGCCGAAAAAGGTGGAAGAGTCAGGTTGGTGGGGGAGAAGACCGCAAACGATGAAGAACCAGATGGTCAGTACGACTTGTATGTAGTAGGATACGGCAATCTATGGTCTACATTAGCGATGGGGTCGATCATTCCCCCCCCTTTTCTCGGATCAACAGCTTGACTTACCCCAGGCCCAGCAATGTCGGCTTCCGGTTCCTTTTGTACCACAGAACACAAGTCCCGGAGAGGGTCCAAGACCAGATTCAGGTCATCCGCTATCACTTGGCTCTGTGTGAGCTTCGCGACGCGGGGATCGCACTCTCCCAAAGGATTGTTGTCGGTACAGGATTCTTCGATACAGCCAACAATTTGTCGGACGACCCGTGAGGCGTTGAAAGTCTTTAGAGAGCCAAAATTGGCTCTCTTATTCGCTTCATTGACGCTTTCGTCGATGGTGATGTTCTCATTCTGCACGAGAAACGCCGAGGTCGCGATTGCTGCGCAGCCGTACCAGTTCTCAGTGGAGAGCTCAAACAGAGCTTTCGGGTCGTAACAGTCTTTTTGTGCGTCGATTTTACTTTCAGCATCATACCACCAGTATGGAAGAGACACAGTGATGCTGGTATCTTCCGAGTTCTTTGCGTTATAGATGGAGTACAGGTAGTTAGGCCAACTCGGAGCGGCATAGTAGTAGTAAAGCCAGTCCATCTTCAAGACATGATGAACCGCCATTTTGAAATGCTTAATCGGCCTTGAGCTACGTGGTTATAACTCAGTCTTTTCTCAAAGCCCAGCCAAGACGGCGCAATTCGTAGAGAGATCGTCAAAGAAAGACCTCAGCTGTCCCTCACTCGACATCGCTGGCCCTGGTGTTTCCGACTGACGAGCCAGAAGTCAAAATCTCGAGATACCAGGCTGTCCAAACAACGACATTAAATATCAAAGACTTCAACCAGCGAAAACCGCGCCACATTCGGGCAGCTGCTACGCTCCTTCCAGCCCTCCTCGAGATGCGAATGTGGTCAGGCTGCGTGCTTATTTGCACATGTTGGGCGTCGCACGACGCATGGTCACAACCAATGGGCTTGCAAAGTAATATATGCAGAATCAGGCTGTGGGGTCCAAAAGTTGCTCGACCGAATTATTATTCTCAGCTGTCTTGAAACGTTTATTTTTGACAATATCTTGTCTTACCACCCAAACCGGGGTCGCCGTCATTCCAGGCCCCGCCCAGGCAGTACACAAAACCGCCGAAATTCCCTTGGATTGGCTCCTTCTTTTGTTTTACTCAATTTTCCTTGCTATCGCAGCTTGATTGACATCATAGAGTGATAAAACATTGTTGTATTCGACTACCCGAGGGACTCGTCGAGGCCATTGCTACTACGTACCCAACGTAGTACTCACGGAGGCTAATCCGAGTGGGTATTTGCCTTGGATTAGTAGAAGAACTTCAAGAAGACTCTGGAATCAACCTGTCCGGCAACTACGAGTCGAATTGAGTGTGCGCCGTTGTAAGGAGACTCATTGAGAGACGAAGTGCCTTGAGGCCTGCCAATGGGTACAAGAGGACGCTGTCTCACTCTGAATCAGCCTTACTCGACAAACTGAACTCAAATCAAGTCGTCATAGGCCCCCAGCTTTCGTGTTGTATTCCGCATCGAATATCTTACTCTAGACAGACAACAGCCCGCGAAGATAGTTCTTTGGAGGGGGAATCATAGCCACCACCAAGATGAAGGCAGTGTCGCAAGGGTTTTTTGATAGTTTTAAAAAAGTTACACATCCTTCAAAATCCTATGATCTGTGTGCAAGCATCACAAGTGACTTGAATCATGAATGAATGCCCACGGGACTAATGGTATTTGATGTTACATTCTATATAGGTGGTCTCTCCAACGCAATCAACCACGTCCAAACATCCTAGACCTGCAGAGCAGTATCCTCCCTATTCGCATGACTCCCCTTCCTCCACCCGTTCGTCGGGTCCCTCTTGCTACTGATTCCCTTCTCAGCCCCAACCTTGCCCCAGCCACCGCCGCCAGGCGTGTTGATAATGATCCTCTCCCCAGGCTTCATCGGCGCGCTGTTCTTTGCCCCCAGATTGAACCTCCGCTCCTCGTACTCCACCTCCTCGTCTCCCTTCACCTCCCCAGCGGCACCCTTCAACCTCTTGAGCGACTTCTCCCAGCTCCCCTTTTCCACCTTTCTCACCCAAACATTCAGCCCGGCCTCGGCGTCCTCCCCGCCGGCGAGCCCGTACGGCCTATACACCCTCCTCTCGCTCAGGATCGACACCTGCACGGGGATCCGGAACTCGATATCCCTCACCACCCCGTCACCGCCCCGATGCTGCCCGTCACCGCCGGACCCTTTTCTCAACGAAAACTCCCGCAGGATCACGGGGTACCGCCTCTCAAACACCTCCGAGTCGGTGATTCGGGTGTTTGTCATGTGCGTGTGCACCCCGCTCGTGCCCTCCCAGCTGGGGCCCGCGCCGCTGCCGCCCGCAATCGTCTCGTAGTACCCGAAACCCTTGACCTCCTTCTGTCCCGTCACGTTGCCGCCGAAGCCGAACGTCAGGTTGTTGCAGTCGCCCTGGCTCGCCGCGCACGCCTGGAAGGCCTTGAAGATGACGTCCGTCACGCGCTGGCTCGTCAGGACGTTGCCGCCCACGACCGCCGCGCCGTCTGACGGGGACAGCAGCGACTTTGGCGGGATCTTGACGTTTATGGGCTTCAGACATCCCTGGTTGAGGGGGATGTCTTCCGAGATGAGGCACCGGAGGCAGTATATTATCGCGCTGTACGTCACGGCTTCGGGGGCGTTGACGTTGCCGTAGACTTCGGGCCCGGTACCCTCAAAGTCAAAGACCGCCTCGCCCTTGTCGGCGTCAATGGTGACCTTTAACCGAATCGGACTGCCGTCGTCCATGAAGTCCACCGCTTGTAGATCTCTGCCTTCAAATCGCTTGCTGACCTCCTTCAGCAGTGTGCGCACGCAGAGCTCGGCGTTATTCTGAATGTGGACCATGTAAAACTGCACCGTCTCCTCGCCATACTCCCCAATGAGACCCTCAATCAGTGCAATGCCCTTCTGGTTCGCCGAGACTTGCGCTCTCAGGTCATTGATGTTGTCGGCTAAGCAGCGGGTTCCACTGCATCCGGGGTACTGCGCAGGCTCGTTGTATAACAACTCCGTCACTCTCTTCTCGTCGAAGCGCCCCTCGCTAACAAGCTTCTCGCTCTTAATCGCAGCTCCCTCCTGGAACAGTTCCTTTGAGTGTGGCGGCATACTGCCAGCTGTGATGCCTCCGATATCCGCATGATGCGCTCTCGAGGCCGCGTAGAAGAGGATTTTATCCCCCTTGTCGTTGAAAGCCGGCATCACCAGAGTGATATCTGGCAAATGAGTACCTCCGTATGAAGGGTGGTTGGAAATGATGACGTCGCCCTTCTTCAAATCCCCCTTCCAGATCTCCGCCTGCCGCTTGACGCAGGTCGACATCGAGCCCAAGTGGACAGGAAGATGAGGCGCATTAGCCACGAGACCGCCCGTCGCGTCAAATATGGCGCAGGAGAAATCTAGTCGTTCCTTGACGTTGGTGCTGACGCTAGTTTTTTGGAGGGCTCTTCCCATTTGTTCTGCAATAGCCATGAATCGATGACCAAAAATACTCAACATGATCGGATCAACGTCTCGTTCGCTTTGGTTCTTTGGTAGCCTATACCTAGAGGTCAGCTTCAAGTTTTCGATTCGAACTTGTCCTACATACCCGTCTTCTTTGGATTTTTCCTTCTCAATGTCAATGACGACATGGGTATCAAGAACCAGCGCAGTGGCCTTCGGCGTGACCACAATAGTCTGCGTACCATCTGCCAGCATGGCGGGTCCCTTGATAGTCTCGCCAGTGCTCAAATCCTCGAGCTTGTACACCGGGGTATCAAGTCGACCCTCTTCGAAATAAACCTGCTGTCGGTTGTGTGCTTTGCTCTGCTCTACATTCTTACGCTCCAACTCCTTGAGTTGTTGGTCTACCGTCTTCTCCGCATGCCTGAAACTCTTTCCGATACCGCGGACTCGCACATCGTCAACAATGATGTCTCGATCGTCGAGAGTAAAGCCAAACTCGTAACGATGCTGCTGAATGAAGGCCGTTCCAAAATCCCAGTCCTTTGTGTCCTTCTGCTCGTCCTGGTCAGGCCTGATAATCATCAACGCCGACTCGGTGCCGCGGTACCTCATGTTAAGGTACTCTTCAAACACGATTTCCTTCTCGTCGAAGCCCTGGTCGCGCAGGGCCTTGCGAGACTTGTCCTTGAGCTTCTCCATCTTGCTCTTTAGCTCATCCACTGCCTTGCCCGGGTATTCCCAGACCTTGGAATCGGGCTCCTGGCGCTCGTCAACAACGTCCGCCAATGCCATACCATATGCTGATAGCACAGAGGAGTATCTGTGAATAAGGATCTGCTGAATACCGAGGGCCTCGGCAATAGCAACAGCGTGCTGCCCGCCGGCACCACCGAATGTTGCCAGGCGGTGCTTGGAGGAATCGTGACCCTTGGCCTCCGTGATTGACCTGATAGGCCTCGTCATTGTTTCGTTTGCAACGGTCAAGAAACCGTATGCCACCTCGTCGACGCTCATATTTTTTCCAGTCTCCTTGTTGACCTGATCAGCAAGTTCTTGTAGAACATTCTTACTAGCCACAGGGTCAAGCCCTTGGTCCTCGTTCTCGCCAAAGATCTTTGGGAAGAACTCAGGGAGTAAACGACCGAGGTAGAGGTTGGCATCGGTTACAGTCGCCGGTCCCCCCTTTCTATAGCACGCCGGACCTGGGTGTGCGCCAGCAGACTCAGGACCAACCACAAAAAGCCCATTCTTCCAGAAAAGCATGGAGCCGCCGCCTGCCGCAACCGTGTTGATATCCAGCTGCGGCGATTGAATAGTCACGCCAGCAGTAGTAGTCTCAAACACATGCTCATATCGCCCCTCGCCAAACCGAGAGACGTCAGTGCTTGTGCCGCCCATGTCGAATCCAATCACAGGGATCTTTGTCTCTTCATCATACGACGTGATGGCGTACCCCACAACACCACCCGCCGGCCCGGATAGAATAGCCTTGAGTCCAGTGAAGTTCTCCACGTCAACAAGACCACCATCGCTCTGCATAAACTCGCATCGGGCACCCTTGGCACCTTCCTCTTGCTGAACGCTCCTCGTTCCCAAACCGCCCTCGAATCCGGCCTGGAAGCCCGCGATGTATTTTTTGATAGCAGGCGTGAGATACGCGTCAGCACAAACGGACGTCGCTCGCGAAACCAGCTTGATCATGGGCATGAGCTCGTGACTGAGGGAAATGTGCTCGAAGCCAATCTCCTTTGCGATCTTGCCAATCAGGGCTTCGTGGTCGGGGAAGGTATAGCCGTGCATCAGACACACCGCAATACTGCGGATTCCCGAGTCATAGACTTCTTGCAACTGGTCCTTGATACTCTGTGCCTCGGGGCGTTGCAGTATCCTCACGGCCTCCCCCGATGTCCCCTGTACAAGCTCCTCTTTGGCTGCTTCTAGCGTCCCAGCCTTGGCAGCCACTTTGGTCAAATTCCGCATGGGGTCTTCGGCATAGTCCTCCAGAGTAACGCGCTCATCAACCTCGACGACTTTCTCATACAACACATCCGGTTTTCGAATCGCCAGGTCAAAGATCTTGGGCCTGCTCTGGTTGCCGATGGCGAGGCAGTCCTTGAACCCCTTGGTCACGACCATGGCGATCTTTTCACCCTTGCGCTCCAGCAGAGCGTTTGTGGCCACAGTGGTCCCCATGCGAATGGAATCGATCCTCTTTGTGTCCAGAGCCTCACCCCGGGGGATTTCCCTGTCGAGGAAGTGCGACATGATGCGCCGGATCCCCTCGAGAGGCGCATCTTCATAGTTGGCCGGGTCTTCAGAGAGGAGCTTGATGATTGTCTCCTTTCCATTTAGCTCGCCGACACAGTCAGTGAAGGTACCACCGCGGTCGATGGCGATGCGAATGCCGCGGTCTCGCGAGTCTGACGCCATTGTGACGGTGGACCTCGAGAACGTAGGGTAGTGATGAGGAAGGTACCCGTAGGTTCTATTGAACAAGGATTGGGTTCGACTTGTGGTTGGAAATATCAAAAAGTCTCACATCAAGGCAAAAGAAGAATTCAAGGGTATAGATGAAGGCTAAAGATCACGACGACTTGGTGATTCTAGAGATCGATGACAAATGGTGGTCGACGTCAACGCAACGGAAGGAGCTGCCGATAAGATAAGGAGCTCAAGCTCCGCACCCCACTACTAGCCTGATACCCCGCACTCCACAGCCGTGCTAGTAGTGGGGGCGTTCTTGAGCTTCGAAATGATCCTTGAAGGTAAGGTCACGACGGTCGTTATGGAACTTTACCGATTTCTTTCTCTGGCCAAATACAGACGCAAGTTCTGCTTTGCTCGTATTTGGTTTTTTTTCCTCGTCCTGGTTGCCTCTGTCCCTCGTCTAAGTGCCTTGACTAGGCGCCTGCCTTGGATGAGTGTAAAAGACAGCAGCAGGCAATCTCAGAGTACGACAGAGGAAGAGGCAGGCCAGCGCCAGTCCCTCTTGAACTTCCCTCTCACGTTTCACTTCAAGTAAACATTTCCAGTCAATGATAGCTATATCTTCTTGAGCTATATATGTCAGTCAATTATTAAGTATGTATAAGTAATCTTGTTCTCGTCCCCAGCGATGCCAAGTTGCCCGACACCGGTCGTTTCCATGTCTTTCTTTCAAGTCATAAGTTTTACAAACAGCGGCTGTTCTACGCTGCGCATTCTCGCCTTCGTAGCCGATTGTTGGTACAAAAATGGTGTGTTGCGCCGGCGCCAAAGGGATGAAAATGCTGTGGATTAGTGGGTGACGACCCTCACAGCCTGGAGCATCATGCCAAATATGAAGCCCCGCGCCACCTCTTGGATCTGGAGACTATCAAAGATACGCCCCAGGGCGTCGGTCGTCGCCGCTTGTCCCATAACGCCAGTCAAGGCAGCCGGAACACCTCGTTTGATAAGGAGGTTGCGTGCCTTGAATCGCAGCTTCTCCTTCTCCTCTTCCGTCATCTCAGCAGGCCAAGTGGCCCGCTCCTCATCAGTCGGCATTGTGTTCTCTCGCAGCTTGCGAAGGTGGTACGCGAGTCCCTCATCCTTGGTGTTGGCGTCAATGACGGATTCCTGCATCATTTTTTGGATCGCGATCAAGGACGGGTTGCCGGGTCGCAGAAGGAATGACTTTGCGGCGGCTAGCAGAGTTCGTCGAATGTTCCAAGCGGACGAGAGCGTGTACATCTCATTGATAATAGCGAAGACTAGTTCGACAGCCACGTTCGTTTCTTGCTCCTGAAGAGGAGGGTATTGCCGCGCAGGCTTTGCCTCCTTCTTCTTCGGCTGGGTCTGCGGGAGACCTGGCGAAAGAGCCCCGGTGGAGTTCCGGGGGGAAATAACTTCATCCATCTTAGCCCGCATGTCCCCCTGTGTGGGTGACTGGTAGTCTTCCGGCATCTCGTCCGGCGGAGGAGGCAGGTACTGGAGATTCATGACATCAAGGCTTGTTAACGAGGGAGACGGGAGGGCTGGTGAGTGCAAGGGCGCTAGGCTTGAAGCTCTACTATGTTCGCGACTGCCAGTGGCACTTGGAGTGTTCCTCTCCCAATGGTCGGACCGAGGCTTGAGGCCATCTGCCTCGGCATCGCCTCGGGGGTCAAAGCTAGGCCGTCGTTCCATGGGAGCGATCTTGCCTGGCTGGGTAGAGACAATCGAGGATCGTTGGCTGTCAAGACTGTCCCGGCCCTTCCGAGAGCCCACTCCAGTCGGCGATGAGAGTGCCGCGTTCAGACTGGTGGTACTGTCCATCCTTGGCGGCGTTCCTGTGGACCATCGATGATTTGATGTTTGGATCTCCGACAACGAGGACGTGTTCTTTCTTGGACCGAGACCGATATTATTGAACATGCCAGTCACACCTCCAAAGACTGCCTTGCCGCCTTCCATGGCACCTTTGGGGCCCATTGTCAAGACATCCAACATGTTCTTGCCAACCGTGTCCCATGGTAGACCTGACTTGGAATTGCTGTGGCCGTGGCCCGAGTCTTTTTCCAAGAAGCGTTTCATGCCCTCGCTCTCTGCTAGTGACTTGTACCAACAGGCGTCCTTGACGTAACGCTCCAGTTCACCACGAAGCGAGGCCCGCGTATGCGACTTCCAGTTAGGGAGCGCGGCATGCTGTTCTGTAAAAGCTGTCACGCCCGAAATATTTGCGATGCGCCTCAAGATCTCGTGCAGAGTCTCGAAGTCTGAGTATTGCCTCACAATCATCCAGCCGGGGTAGTGAGACGAAGATGGCTCAATCTGAACCATATAGTCCCAGTTAGGCTTGCTCCGGATACGATTGTTGTCGTTGCCATCCTCATACAGAGTGATAGTGGCATTGTGCAGTGAAAAAGGAAGCTTGCAAATGCTCTCGTCAGGCACCTGAGGCTCCTCCTTCGCGGGTGGCACGATCTGGTCAAAGTTCAAAAACTGGGAGGCGCTCCCTGTAGAGGCGTGTTTGGATGACGACTTCTGGCTGGAGGAGTCCGCGTCAGACCTTGGCGTGGTAGGTGAGTGCGTACTTTCCCGCTTAGAAACGTCGGACGTATTCGATCCACTCGAACCATTCGTTGACGGCTTCTCTGCTGAAGACAAGGATCTCGGTGACAGCTCACCAGGGGAAGACACGATCTTGCCCTCAGTAGTCTGCACCGTCGGATGGGATGCCGAGTCAACGCTCTGTCGCGTCTTGACTCTTTTAGCCTCTTCTTCGGCGATTAAGGCGTTCATACGCTTCATCTCTTCCATAGCTTCCTCCATCTCTTCGTCAGCTTTGCTAAGCTGCTTCTTGTGCGATACTAGGGACCCCTTGCGGCGCTCGCGTTCCATCTCTAACGAGTTGCGGTTCCCCTTGGTCAGCGCGATGTTACCGACGTTTCCGTCAATGTCAATGAACGCATTCGCATTGTGGACAGCGCTGGCGGTGGCTGCCTCGGGCCCCGTCTGCATGCCGACGTCGATGGCCTGACTGAAGTCGGGTTCTCCGGCTTCCAACAGGTAGACGATCCAGGCATTGATCCACTCCGGCGCTGAGCATGACTGCAAGGTCATCTCAAGAATCACTCCCGCGAGGATCTCTCGCAGAAACACGCGAGCGGGATCGCAATTGTATGCCGACCGGTCCAGGAACCCGAGGAGGTCGTCTGCGACATTGTGGAATTTGGCAGACTGTTGTGACCGACTCAGCAGATTGGCCAGATTCGAGTTGGGGTTTTCTTCTAGGTACTTGGAGATGATTTCGGGGGCTGTCGAGTTGGGGTCGTTGTTTTGGTCGGTGAAGGCAGAGGATAATTCGGAGAGAAAGACGATGAACATGGACGACGCATTGGTCATGAAGTCGAGGAATGAGTCGGCGGGGCGTTTGCGGTAGAGGTGGTTCGAGATGGATAGGAGAAACGAGTTGAGGAGTCTCCGGCAGGAAAGAGGGAACGAGCTATCCGTCGGAAGAATCGGGGAATACCACCACTTGACGTAGTCACGGATGACGGCGTCCACCAAGCTAGTCAGAGCCTCGCGCGTTTCGGGCTGGAAGTCGTCGAATCCATGGATAAGTCGATCTTCCTCTTCCTCATCATTCTTGGGTGGCTCAGCGATCTTGACCAAGGCCAGCCGCTGAAGGACGTCAATGCCCTTCTCGCCCCGGACGACCCGGGACACCTCTGGATGGCGCGCTTCGTACGATATGAAGGCGACAACACCACCAAAAGCGCCGATAAGGACGAGTCCAATCCTGCCGAGGATGAAATATGTCGAAGCTGCCAGGCCGACTGCGATAGCACCTAGGGTTTCGGATGTTGCGGTCGACAAGAACTTGAGCACTTTGGTGACCAAATTATCTTCTTCTTCCACTTTTCCACCAGGCATTGGCGCTTCTGAAGCGACCGCCGCTGGTATTGACGAAGCAGAGAAAATTGTAGACTTATCTTCGATCGGAGGGGGGATTGTAGATTGCGTTGTTGTAGTCGTTGTCGTTGTTGTCTTAGTGGCCGGGAGCTTCTCGTCAGCGACGCGAGATGCGCCGCCGGGTGGATGCGCTTCGGCTGGCGTCGAGTCCATATTTCTTAATTGGTCGTTCTATTGATTCGGGAGTCGCACCCTCTCACATCCCTGGTGCTGGAGGTGAAGACCAAGCGTGCATTAATCGAGCCGAGCAAGATGCACAATGGAAAAAACGTCTGACCGTAAGCGTGAGGCAAGAGCAGTAAGTAGTCGTCGTCGTCAGCTGCAGGCGCAAGGTTTAAAAAAATTGGTAGAGGATAGTTGGCCGACCTTGCCGTGAGGTGGTTCTCGCACACGCAGCAGCTGTAGAGTTTCGAAAAAGTCTAGTAGAAAAAGAGGCGTGCGTTGACTTGAAGTGCACCAGCGGCGTAAGGTGCCAGGTAGAATCAGATCTCGTTTGTTTTAGGGGGGGCCTAAGCGCGGATGGGACTGGGGGAGAACGGGATGGGAATTCATGTTGGCGTCCTTGGTGGGACTTGTGGCAGATTGGCCCGCCTTGGAAGGGAACGCAGCTGGGCTCAAAATGCTCGCCAAAGCTCTAGACTCCTAATTTTAGTGACGGGACCCCTGCACCGGTCCAGTCGCTAGGAAAAATTCCCCGTGTTTCTGGGCAGTGTCTGTCCACTCTTGTTTCTCTGATTCCACTTGTTCATTAAAGCTGTCTGCTGGATGATGGATCGTCAACAATTGCGACATGGCCATATGTATAGGTAAGGGATCGTCAGTAATGAAAAGGGGGATGGGGGAAGTGATGGGAAGTGTAGCGCAGGTGGACAGAATATGGGGGTGAAACACATCTCAAGCAGCAGTGGAAGGACCACTCTGGTTCGGGACGCGGCAGATGCGCGCTCGAGGTGAGACAAGAAAACGATCCAATGTCCCTTGCATTGAGCGACGCGACAGGGTCCCAATGTTGAAAATTAACGTCTTTTGGTGCTCTGCGCCGCAAAACCATGCCCACAAATTCCTCCGGTTCTTGGCGTGCAACGTCTTCGCTATGCAATGACAGGTAAGGTAGGTGCCAAGGTTGGTAGCACGTGAGGAACGGACTTCAGCCAGATCTGCCAAAATAAGTGAGGTTCGTCACGTGTCCTCGCGTTACGTGTGCTTGCGTTTGACCGATTACGTCATCTGGTGGACTCGCGACAGACCACTTTACTCGACCGACCGCAATGCGCCTGCCAAGCGATGGACAACTCACTGTACATGCGATCGACTACATATCATTGATCGCGTCTCAACTTTTTGGTTCTTGAAGCCTTGATACCCGCGCCAATCTCTCTCCTCCGAACGTCAAGCCACAAGATCACCCAAGAAAAACACCCATTGGTACAGCGCATTTCGCTTACCAGCCCAGCATGCCGTTTACAAAGGGTACTAAGCGCGCCGCCCCGCGCGACTCGCGCAGCGACTCCGGCGACGAGGTCATCACCAAGTCCAACAAGAAGACAAAAACCACAAAGAACAACGGAAGCACAGATGGGGTTGACAAGGACGGCAACCCTTTCTGGGATGTGAGTTCCCTCTTCCTACCTTGGACACCCATTCATCTGCTTCTTCCCAAAATCTATCTGTCCTCCTTGTAACCCGGCGGGACTCTAACATGCTCCTCACCTCCCTCACAGCTGTCCAACAAGCGCCGCGTTGGCCTCTCTCAATTCAAGAACACCACTTTTGTCAATATTCGCGAGTTTTACGAAAAGGATGGCGACATGCTGCCGGGCAAGAAAGGCATCTCCCTCACCGTCCCACAGTACGAGGCCCTCGTCAAGGCCATGCCCGCTATTAGCGAAAAGCTGCGCGCCATGGGCCACGACGTCGAGGACGTGGAGGAGGACGGCGGGGCTCCCACCGCGGTCGAGGCACCAAAGCCTGCTGCCAAGGAGAAGTCAAGAGCCAAGAAGTCCAATTTTGAGGCTACCAGTGACGAGGAGTCGGACTAGGATTCGGATTCGAGTGACGACGATGACAAATTTGAGTCTACTTCGGAGTCGGGGATTGAACAGTCCGACTACACTTCGGGTTCGGAATCTGATTAAGGGAAGGGACAGGCGTTATTGAGATCAAAAGTTGTACGCGTCATACGTAGTTGTTTTTGTTGCTTTCTCCTGATCATGATGAGACAGGAATTGATGTATGACAAAGGAGCGGGGGTTGGGAGGCCAAGATGATGTTCATCAAGACTTGTGATAGCTGGCTGCTTAGACTTGATGAAAAGCTCATGAGACATGAACTTCCGGTATCGTGCATCCTTGTTCCAAGCATTTCCGCGCCTAGTTCTACGGGATGATCCCGTATGCTTCCTTTATTTCACACCATCGGGCCAACTTTTCCAGAAAACGTCTCCCACAAAACTGCTACAACCGCAGGACGTATGGAAATGGCCTAGTCGTAGGTTCCCAAGGGGGTGCCGGGCGAAAGCGTATGATGGAGGCCCTTATCGATTGTTCTTTCTCGGCCAACGGCGCCTCGAACATATTTTGCCTAGGCCAGTAGAATATGATACGCATCAAGGCACAATATAGGAAGAAGAAAAAGGAAGGAAAAACAGATGAATGCATTCTCGCCCTGGACTTGGGGTGGAGGGCGTCAAAAGCTGCGTGTTCATTTGGACGCACATGACTTGGATTCGTATGCATATTAGAGATCATTTTCCAGCTATTCATGGCTGCCTGTAGTGCTCGTGTTGTCACTTTCTCACGCCGCATTCATCATCGTCGAGGATGAAGGTGCCAATGCCTGCTGTGAGAGATTTCTGGCACGACATGTGGACGGCAGATCCACAAGTCAGAAAACCCAACGTAGGTTTCACTTTAGACCCTCGATTTTGACGCCCTCCACCCCAAGTCCAGGGCGAGAACATTCTATCCTTCGTACTCTGTAAAAACGAGCTAACCAAAGCGGGCAGATGAAAAACTCAAGCAATGGCAGGCAGTTGCAAGATACGGCTGAGTGGGATGAAATGGAAAAGGGACCGCCAGCTAATGATTGAGAGACGTCAGGTATCGTTAGACTTCAGTCAGTCTTCAATGAATTTGGAAGCTAGAAAAAGGACTGAGGTAGCTTTTGGTCGAGGGCCTATGCATCTCCATCTTGATAGGAATCGTAGTTCAAGTCTGCGCGATGGAGATGCAAGAGAAGCCTTGATTTATACGTATAACGGACTGGTCTTGAAATTCGATACCAAGATGAACTACGTCCTCAATTATACTGAATGAGAAAAGAGATTATACCAAAGTAATATTGCATTTCGCTTCAAAGTAACAGCACGGCAATGACGGGATTGCAATCAAGCGAGACGGTGATAGAACCTACGGAGCGTGTCTCCGTGATCAATCGGTGAAGTCACTGCAGCGCTGCTTAGAACGCCTGCTGCGATTTCTTGCCTCAAGTGAAGTTGATGGAGCCGGAGTTTCCATTTCGTCCTTATTTCTGGAGAAGGATTCTGTTGAGAGATGCAGAGGACTGCAAATGCCAGCCTAAAACAATTGAGCAGTGGACGTCTCTCTGCCCTATTGTGTAGCGTGCTTGGCGCCAGAATTCTGCAAGGCAGTTGCCTTCACTTCGACCGAGAACCAATTTGCGATAACTAGCCTCTATAGGAACTGCTGTATCGTCGGACATATTTGCAGAGGTCCGATCTCTTGGAAGTCATGTTCCCAAGAGCCTTTTCTTTTGAGGCCAAATCTTCACGGCTTCACAAAGCACATCGATAAATAGAAATGTGTGGCTGTTCGATGCTTACAAAGACGATCTTCCGAAAGAATTAATATGCTGGCAAACATATGTCTTGGAGGTGCTGAGGCGTTATTCATGAAGGTTTGGATTGCGCTTCTCTACCATCAAGTTCATGGCAATCATCGAAAGCATCGGACGGATGACAATGTAGCTGCGGCTGTACCATTTGCTCGCCAGAAAGGCAGCAGTAGTCTACCAAAAAAAGGTTCCTGCTTGAGCTTGGGCATCCACTCACTTCGTGGAACCACCAAGGTCGCGGTAATACACTTGCCCTACGATGCCATGACTAAGTCCGCTTGCTATTCCACGCCATTGCACCATGAGCAGCGAAGACGAATTGCGCTTTCATTGACAACATAAAAGTCCGAGGCTATCACGCAGAGAAAACAACAACAAAGTTTGCGCCATGGAACGTCCGCGACGGCTGTGATTCGATCCGCCGCCCCCCGGGAACGACTCCGGAGGACCCCGGCCGGCTTCGGTCCGTCACACGGAAAGGTCATAGTGGGAACACCGAGAGACCATGCCGCGAAAACGGATCTGGACAAAAGGTCTGTGTTTGTAGATAAGGCAGGAGAAACCAACTTACCCATGCAAGTTCTGTGGCCCCCTAGCTTCGCTTCGCCCAGCGCAAATTAAACCAAGATCCATATCAGCATCGCGCAATTAGAAGCGGAGGCATTTCGTTTTCGGTGCATGTTTCCGTCGCAGGTTGACCAAACCCTGGGTCTCATCAACTCGATCGGGGGTGGCCTTCCCTCGAAAGATTGGACATGGGCAAGCACATGTTTTCTTCTCTTCAATCATCAATCACCCGGAACCATGGCGAGTTTCCCTCCAATTTCGATCACAATTTTAAGCCCCCATGTCATGTTTGATGATGTCAATAGCGGCATTATTCATTAATATCATTTTTGCGCCGTTTGGGGTTCGAAAACATCCCCCGGCAATCTTCCTTCATTTCGCCAAAATTGAAACCATTTTTCTTCTCCTTTGCCGTTGCCAACGGGTTTATTAGCCTACCCAGCGCCGGATCCCTGTCTATCCAAGATGATCTCACCTTGTTTCAATGTCTCCCCAGTCGCTCTATTGGCTCACCTGCAACCTGCGCCATAATCGCAGGAAACATCTTGAGCTCTCAAAAGTTCAATACTCATAATCCACGGCAAGTGCTGTAGCGAATCCTCATCACCATCGTTCTGAACAGCAGCATTCATAAACAAAGTATGCTTTCCCGCCCTAAGCGGATGCCCGTCCCCAGCGTAATGCAAAGTCTTGAACCCCCCCGCCCTCCGATGTATGTGACCGAAGCATTGCAGCCGCGGCTTGACCCGCATGACATGCCGCGAATAAGCCCGGACACCCGATCCGTTCGGTGGCTGTGCGGTCGAATATCCCCCCCCTTGCGGCGGGTCGTGGGTGACGACGACGTCCACGTCGCCCCCAATGTCCGATTGGTGGTCTTGGGCCTTGGCCTCCTGCTCCAACTTTGACGTCGCCGTTGACCTCGACATCCTGCCATGGATCGTACTGGAACCCCTACAACCGTCTGCCCACGGCGAGGACAGCGTGAGGTGGGGGACTCGCGTAGACATTCAGTGATGCAGCATTGGCGAGCGTCAAGGTATGAGTGTTAGTGTCGGTCTGTTCCCCTCCTCCTCCCTTGTCACCATGGTCGTCATGGTCGTCGAGGAAGACGATGGCAGCAACCTTGGCACACCGCGACGCGCTAAAGTCACCACTACGTCTCCGGATGAAGATCATAGCGACCAAGGGAGGTGCCATATCAGCGAACCTGCGTCGGAAAACCGGGCCATCGAGCGCCGAGTAGTGGCTATGACGAGCTTGAGAGGACCTCAGCAGGTCGAGGTTGCCGCAGCGGATGGATACATCGGCCAGGTTCAGTGTTTTGTCATATTCCACCGGTTGAGGTACTGCGCCATGGGTGCCCGAGATGATGAAAATTCGGTTCTTGATCTTTAAGGAGGAGACAGTCTTGGCGTTGTTCATCCATCTTTTTGCATCCCTGGTTTGGCGGTCTCTTGAAAGCCATCTACTTTGGAAGTATGCGGCATTATTACGTGAAGACTGGTAACGATAATGTCCAAGTCACTGCCGAACATGTCAAAGCTTGTTCATTCTATGGAAAGATACCACGCCTAAATCTGGGTGGTCTTTGGTACCCTTCTCACAGTCACACATCTGGCTCGTTGTTTATTTCCGCCTTACCTTGGATTTGGATAATCTATGCTGCAGACCAATTGGTGCCACGTATACCATGGCGTTGATGGACTAGAAGGCCATGAATTGGCCAAATCTGGCATTTGTACATCATATAGTTTGTGGAGGTTTGTAACCAATTTCGTCTTGCCCTTTCACAGTTTGGATGTGTGCATCATGCCCTATCACAGCACTGGATGGTCGTCAATCCTGTTTAGTTTATGCGGTGAATCAGTCCTCGACTTGACTCAGTTGAATTAGGCAGCCAGTAAAGAGAACTATTATAAATATCACAAAACTTTGTGATGTGATTGCTCGGTCCGTATCAGTCCACAAAGACTCAGCCACCTCGAAATGGGCACTATTGAAAAGATAAGGGACGAACCAAGTTGGCTAAACGGAGCAGAGAAACATCAACTTGGCATTGTCGCAACCGTCACGATACTTTGCAATTTTTTTTAAAGGCGACTGCATCATCTCGGGCTGGCCCGCCAAAGTCTAAGGGGGAGCTGAGGGACTAGGGAGACCGCGGCACTGAGACGACAGCAAAGGTTCAAGAAGGGAGCCTGACGGACGCCCGCAAGTCCGCAGACAGAAAGAGAGGGAGAGCTCGGTCCAGAAGGCGACTGTGAGTGGAGAAAGAAGGAGTATGATAGAGTTCGGATTGATTTGAGTTTGGCGAGCAACATCGGATCATCGTCATTGACGGCAAGTCAGGTGTACTTCAGTATCTCTAATTTTGGAGAGAGCTTGGCCCCTTGGAGAGGGCGGTAGCATATGACGATCAAACAGCAATGCAAAGCCATATGCCTCGGTCAGCGAAGCGCGCAGGAGAGTCTGAAGTAAGGCCTTCCCTCTGCATCGCTCAGAAACGGGCATATGGGATGGATCGGATAGATTTTCTTCTTCCTGTTCCGGGGATGTTCAAGCGAGTGCCTGTCGGCTCGGCGCAAGAGAGGCGAATGGCCGTGAGGAGGCCCATTGGATTATCCAGACGCGGTAAGGCGAATGGTTATGTTAGCGAGGGATCAGAGGAACTCGTGCATCCATGGCCGCAGCAGGTTTTTTGGCAACGGATGAGGCGATTCAGCCCCAATGGCGGGGAAGACGCCTGGGTCGGTGTGTGGCGGCGGCGGGGAAGAGCCGGGTCCGGGTTGGTGGGTTTCTCGGTGAGGGAAGATGCCGCGCATAAGGGTCCTAGAGGGCTGGTGGAGGCAAGGCTTTGGGCACTACACCAGGATTGAAGTTCCTCGGATGTGAAAGACAGTGGCGTCCAATTGTGAGGTGAGAATGCTTGAAGTACGAGAAGAGACCGAGGAGTGAGGCTGAGCACCCAGAGTGGAGACGCAATGTGAAGGCAATGCATACAGGCACGCATACCTATCCTACTGTGGTAGTTTGGAGGCCGTGGAGGCGTCGTCACCTTGAGGCAAGTGTGGCGTCGATACAGAGCACCCACCACCCTATCGTGCCTACATCTTCTCGTTCTCTCTTTTGAATTTTATTTTTGGAGACACACGCATAAGGTAGTGTAGGTTAAGCCCCCGCGACTCGCAAGATGCGCTTGTTTTTAGGTACGTACCTTGCCCATGCATTTCAGTCCGAGTTGAGGAAGGAGGTGTCACAGTCATCGACCCACAGGGGGATTTGATGGTGAGGGAGACTTCTGACTTGTGAATGGGCAAATGGACCGTTTGACCCCTGGTCATCAAGGGGAAAGCGCCGGTTACCCTGTCAATGGCTCGGAAGATGGCCCCCCCTCCCCTTCCCTATCCTGCAATGCTTACTCTTACTCAAAATTAAACAACGGATCCCAGCAGCACATGCAACCACGGGAACGCGACTCATCGAATGGGCAACGAACGGCTGTTACGGCACTTGCTGATTGCTTAGAATTTCTAGCGATCATAGCGGGTGCAGGTACCTTGCGCGGCACAGCGATGGGGAGAGAAGAAGAGAAAGAGGGCTCGAGTTGGAGTGGAAGAGGTGTTTTGGTTCCTGCTGAGCCCTCGATTTCGGATCTATCCCGTCCCTATGAGGAAGGAAAACGGATGTTTGCCGCAATTGTAACTAAAATCTGGCAGATGAACGGACAGAAAGGCCGGGCGGGAAATCGGACTTTGTGGACGGACGTTTGACGGCTTGCCATGCGGACAGACGGACGGCGAAGGCAGAGACAGACTTTCACGTCACCTCCATGTAAAAAAAGTTGCGCTCACCTCTGGCGTGGCCATCCCATCCACACATCTCCTCACCAATGCCAACTTGGATGCTTTTTTGGTTCAGGGACCTACCTTAGTCATGGCCCGTACCTCCGTACTCAATCACATCCTCACACCTATACCTGGAAAGCTGGGCCCGCCGCCATCGCCATCGTGTTGGCTTGCCCCCCCGCTAAGCTAGTCACACGCACCATCCATCACCTCTCACAATTTTGGGGTTGCTGGCATCCGCAGGCTTTCAGAGTCCACGGGGACCCTGACATGTCCACCCGTGAAGCCCGCGGCGACGTCATCCGCCACCCAATTGCTCCGATGACTACCACAAATCAACGTACAGCGCGGTCTTCTCGAAGCTCTGTGGTCGACAAGCAAGGAGGTGCAAGGGAGTGCTGGTGGTGTTGGACATGCACCTCCTACTACCTAGGTTATGTAAGGTAAGGTCCGATAATATGGCACTAAGCCAATATCAAGAATACAGAAGCGAAAGGCGCCGCGCCACACTTGAAACGCAACAAGTCAGCCTGCCCTCTGGATGGCGCAAACCAAGGCACCACCGTAAGAACACCTGAAGCCTGCGGATCTTTCCTCCAACCTGGAATCAACCTTGCCGCGGCACCGAATTGAAATTCCCTTGCTGTGTACATACCGGTAGTATGAGATCTATTGGAGCAAAAAAGGCTGACTGCGCTTGCAAAGGTAGATAGCTCCACGCCTGCTGCTGCTGCGCAACGGCGTTCAACGGGTAGGGTACCTACCTTAAGTAGCTACCTAGGTACGTTCCAAAGCCTCCACAGCTTGTTTGCGATTGGCAACTGCGGCGGTTGCTCCTACAACCATCGCTACCCCTGTCCATCCTCTCCCATGCTCTCTCTCCCATCCCCCTCCTTCGGGGTGCTAAGGTATCCTGGTCATCTTGCGTCCTGCCCTGCCTCCCGCAGACAATCTGCTACGGCTCAATCAGCTTGAAACGGTGCCTACCCAGGTTTCTTGAGAGACGTCCTCCCTGACCTCTCCCACCCTTCAACGTTTCGACCGAACACATCCCTTCTTCTCCTCCTGTCCCTCACCTCCCTCACAATTGCCTCCCAGTCTCCCGCAGGACCCCCCCTTGGATCTTTCCCGTCCGCCCCGAAACCCGTCAGGCGCATTGAGTTGAGCACCGACCCGCGCGGCCATACCGCATTCCTCACCACCGCCCTCACTGCCCTTCCACAAGCTGTGCAACCCAACCGGCAACCTCCTTGGACAACCTACCCTGATCTACCCTGTATTGGAGGCAAGAGCACGAGCAAAACCTTGCGCACCTTACCTACCACACCCTACATTGCCGCAGCAGCTCACAGGGGAAGCATCAGAAAGAGGAAAAAAACAAGAATAGGGGCTAAGCTTAGCTGAAAGTTGTACTGCCTGCCGACAAAGACCGATCCGACGACTGAGAGCAGGTGCGACTGTCTTGCTGCGCGACTGCATCTCTGCGACTCTGCGACTCTGAGAAGCGCCGAACAGTCCCAACTTTCCCATCCTATCCACCTTCCATCTCTACCTCTCTTTCCTCTCTCCGCGACACCACTCTCTCCAGCGCCCATCTCAATCTACGCCTACAACGTCTCTGACTGGCCCATATCCAAGTCTGCACAGCACGGCGCATTCGTAGCACTGCCAACACCGGTCTCCTCAGAAGCAACATCCCGCTCTCCCCGAGGGACGCGAATCGTCTACCCGATCCATATTCATATCCACCCACGGACTCTCCTGGCAACAAACATCAGACACTCACACTGGTTCCTGTGATTGAACCCCCCGTACCATCGCAACCATGTCGTATAATCGTTTAGGCAAGTAACTTGGTCCCTTCTGATACTGACCCTTGGCGTTATTCATCCCACATCTCCCTCTCCTCCCGCACAAAGTCCGAGACCTGATTCGACCCCAACATAACTGTACCCTTTTTGTGTGTCCGGTCAAGTCATCTCGTCATCTGGCCCTGATCGCACCGTCTTTGTCAAAGAGCTTCCCTGTCCGGCGCATACTGCATCGAAGAGTACGAATACGCACCTTCCGTGGCGCAAGCTTCTGTCCTTGCTTTAAACAATTAAACAATTATACCCGCTTCTCACCTCTACAACACCCTACTTTCAAGTCACGGCAAATTACTTGTGTAGACAGCCAACCTAACCTGATTTCCCTATAGACGACGATTATTACAACGACCGGATGGATCCCCGGTACCATCGCACGCCTTCGCCAGGCCAGCCGACTCAGCATGGCTATCAGTTGGAGGACAACCCGTTCAACAACCAGGCACAGACAGGATACCACCAGCCTCCTCCTCAACATGTGGACGACCCGTATGGCCGCCCCAGCCCTCATTCTCAGCTCGATATCCCCATGGCACCTGGCCGCTATGGCACTCCCAGTGACCAATTACAACTGAACGCAGCAGTAAGCAAAGCTCAAGAGCCTTCATCTGGAACTTAGCTAACGACGGTTTTACGTAGCACTCTGTAAGCAACTTGAGCGGGTACGATACGCCAGTGAACCACGGCGACTACGGTGTGAACCCGGAAGCGCATCATGACGCATACTACAACCAGTCTTACGAACCTTCACCCCATGATCAACATAGTGGATATAACGAGTTTGACGATAACAGGCCGATGCTACCTCACCAAGACACTACGCCCACCGATGGGGGATACCAGGACAATCCAACACCACAGCCAGCTGGAGGTATCAAGAGATGGAAGACCGTTAAGCAAGTTTTGTTGTACCGGGGAAACTTGGTTCTTGACTGCCCCGTTCCCCCAAGACTGCTTAACCAGCTTCCTCACGGCGAGCGTGACGAGTTTACCCACATGCGCTACTCCGCAGCCACTTGCGATCCGAACTTCTTCTACGACGACAACTTCACACTGAGACAGAGGCTCTTCTCCAAGCCGAGACATACAGAGCTTTTCATCGTCGTCACCATGTACAATGAGGACGAAATCTTGTTCGCACGGACAATGATTGGCGTGTTGAAGAACGTTGAGTATATGTGCAGCCGGAAAGAGAGCAAGACTTGGGGCAAGGATGCCTGGAAGAAGATTGTTGTCTGTGTGGTCAGCGACGGTCGTGGCAAGATCAACCCGAGAACACGAGCGCTGCTGGCTGGTATGGGTGTATACCAGGAGGGTATTGCGAAGCAACAGGTCAACGGCAAGGATGTCACGGCCCACATTTACGAGTACACCTCCCAAGTCGGCATGACGATCAAGAACGACGTCGTCACCTTGGTCCCTAAGCAGCAGCCCGTTCAGATGCTGTTCTGCCTGAAGGAGAAGAACTCGAAAAAGATCAACTCCCACAGATGGTTCTTCCAGGCCTTCGGCCGCGTTCTCGACCCCAACATTTGTGTCCTCATCGATGCGGGTACCAAGCCTGGTGGAAACTCCATCTATCACCTTTGGAAGGCTTTCGACCTCGAGCCCATGTGCGCTGGCGCTTGCGGTGAAATCAAGGCCATGTTGGGAACTGGTGGAAAGCACCTTCTTAACCCTTTGGTGGCGACGCAAAACTTCGAGTACAAGATGAGCAACATTCTCGACAAACCCCTGGAATCCGCCTTTGGCTTCATCTCTGTGTTGCCTGGCGCCTTCTCAGCCTACCGTTACGTTGCTCTGCAAAACGATAAAAACGGTCAAGGTCCACTGGAGAAGTACTTTGCTGGTGAGAAGCTTGAAGGTGCCGGCGCTGGTATCTTCACATCCAATATGTATCTCGCCGAGGATCGTATCCTCTGCTTCGAGCTTGTCACGAAGAGAAACTGCCATTGGATTCTGCAGTACGTCAAGTCTGCTACTGGCGAGACTGATGTGCCGGATACCGTCACGGAACTTGTCCTCCAACGTCGTCGTTGGCTGAACGGTTCCTTCTTCGCTGCCATCTACGCTATTGCCCACTTCTACGAATTCTTCCGGTCCGACCACTCTATTTTACGAAAGCTAATGTTCTTCATCGAGTTCGTCTTCAACACGATCAACATGATTTTCGCATGGTTTGCCATCGGTAACTTCTTCCTGGTCTTCAAGATTCTTACGACGAGCTTGGGCGAGGACACCTTGCTAGGTAGGACCGGCGAGATCCTCGGCGTGGTCTTTACCTGGCTCTACGGAATTTCACTCATGACTTGTTTCGTTCTCTCCATGGGTAATCGTCCAGCCGGTTCCGGTGCTTACTACATCACGATGGTCTACTTCTGGGCGCTTATAATGATGTGAGTATACCCTGACTGCACTAAATGGTGGCAATCTTACTGAAATTTCCCTAGCTACCTGTTGTTTGCCGCCGTGTTTATTGCTGTCAAGGCTATTATCGCTGATGTCAACGACTCGAACGGCTTCAACGTCAGCGACCTCTTCAAGAATCCAGTTTTCTACACCCTCATCATCTCCGTCATGTCGACTTACGGTATTTGGTTACTTGCCTCGGTGCTCATGTTTGATCCCTGGCACATGATCACCTCATTCGGACAGTACATGCTTCTGACGCCTACCTACACCAACATTCTCAATGTTTACGCATTCTGCAACACTCACGATATCTCATGGGGTACCAAGGGTGACGACGGCGCCGAGAAGCTGCCTACCGTCAGCACCAAGGATGGTTCAGGAAAGACCGATCTTCCCGACGAGGCTGATCTCAACGCCCAGTACGAGCGCGAGCTCAAGGTCTTTAGCGCCAAGTTCGTCAAGGAAGTTAAGGCCCCTACGGACTCGCAAAAGGCTGAGGCTCAGATGGACTACTACCGTGGTGTCCGTTCCGTTGTAGTGCTGGCCTGGATGATCTCCAACTTTGGCCTTGCTGCCGTCGTTCTCAGTGCCGCTGGCCTCGAGAGGATAAGTCCCACCGCAGATAGTACTGCCGACAAGGACGGCCGTGCCAACATCTACATGTCGGTTGTGTTGTGGTCGGTGGCGGGACTTTCGTCTTTCAAGTTCATTGGAGCGATGTGGTTCCTCGTCGTCCGCATGTTCAGAGGTGTATAATTACCAGTGGATACGAGCATTATGTATAGCGGGGATGATTGCTTTTTTGACGACTTTTGGTTTCGTGAGCATTATACCCACCGCTTTTTTGGAGAAAAGGGCTATGTGGATGGCGAACACGATTTTGAAGAGTTTCCGAACTTCTTCATGTTTTGAGTACGATCACGGGGTTATGTAACTCTAATGACTTTGCCTTTTTGCTACCATGCGTTTCTGTACCTGTTAACCTCTGTCAGTCCTCAATTCCCGCCCTTCCCGCCCGTCCGTGTCTTGTTGTGTTTTCGATTCTCTGATATCACATGGCACTCCCCCTTCATTGGAGTTGCCTTTTCTATTCATTCTCATGCATGCCTTTTGAGTTTCATTCCGCCGGTAATCACCCTTGACGGGCAGTGAAGGGCTTGGTCCTTGTTGGGCGTTCTTGCCGGCCTGGGGGGG